TATACATTTATTTTGCACTTATTTTACTTTTGTGGATGTTGAGTAATGAATTATTAGTTTTTATTGAGTCAGTCCTCTGACTTAAAACAGTAAAGTCTGACTTTAGAACACAATGTTTGCTAGGCAACATTCATAAAACTAAATAAGTGTGAAAGAATGTTAACTTTTCTATCTCGGATAGAACAAGGCAAACATCCATTTTGTAGATAGTCTGGATTTGCAAACCTGTGGTCACGAGAGTACACCTGTCTGGGTACAAGTGGATCCCAGGTTGTATTTCAGACTTTCAAGGTCCAAGTCAAAGGCTTTGCCAAGTAAAGAGGGACTCAGCTCATACCTAGACTCCAGATGAAATGCACAGAACATGTCACTCAGGCAATCATGTGCTAGGAGGAAAGGGTGGAGTTGGAGAATGGGATGGCAGGGGAGGGCAGAGGGACCCAGGGAGCCAGGAGGGCTGGAGGGATCTGCTGGGCTGGCGGGCGGGGGAGGGGCTTTGGCCACATCCCCATATCCTTGTCACCTAGGACCCCTTTGTGATTCTCCTGTTCTAGGTGATGCGGGCCTGAGGCTATAGTCCAGCCCGGCCCCCCTCAGCACTCAGTTGCTTCAGGCGGCCCGACTGTTCTCATGATGGAGAGCACTCTTGATTTTATAAATGACTCTAAGCCACATGGCTCAACCTTAGAGAAGACAATCCCAACCCTCACCTTCCTGAGGGCTCTGGTTTTCCTATTCATATGTATTTGCTATGTTTTTATAAAACCCGTTAAACCCACCCGGAAATATACAATCTTCACACCCAAAGAGGTAAGGGACACCCAAAGAGATCCTTTGCTGTTGGCTCCCATTCCTACCTCATGTTCTACCAGAGTCTGGGTGGCTTGGAGAGTGACAGGACAGCACTCTTCCAGGGGAAGAGGTGGGCAGGGCTAGGGGCTTGGGAGGACGAAGATTTCCACCTCAGGCTTACAGGCTCCCTGCCAGGCTGTGGTTGGAGGATCCAGCACAAACCCTCAAACACAGTGACCTTGCGCTGCTGGATTGGCCTGTGTACTCAGTGCAGGTTTTCAGGAAGACAGTCTCCCCTGAGATTGGATCCTCACTCTCCCATGTCAGGTGTCATTTAACCAAGCTTTCACTCTTTTTGTCTGATCAGGAGACACTGTCCAGAGCATCATGCTCTGTCCCCAGGATACAGAGTCCTGAAGAAGCAGAAGTGACAGCTGCCTTCTGCTCTAGTGTGTCCTCCTCGAGCACAGCACTGGTGAGAACACCAAGTGGGGATTTCACTGACAAATCCTCCTTTGAGTTTCTCAAACAAGGAAACATTGAAATTCATTCATCACTTTAAAAATGGGTAAAAGTAACACATTTCTAGTCATGAAAATGAATAGTCACGTTATCCTTGGTGAATGAACAGCTTCTTAGAGGAGAGGAGGCAGAGAAGCGCGTTCCAGCCCCTCATTCTTTTCCTTTTGTTCCCAGCGCCAGGGCAGAGTGAAGAGGAGGAGGAACGGCGGGACCCTGAGAGGTAAGGTTCTGTCGGTGTCCCTGAGCTCCCCAGGGGAGCCTCCTGTTCCTCCCATGGGGCCCCAGGTCCATGATCTCAAAGCTGTCAGGTGCTGGGCACAGTGTCTGGGAAAGCAGAGCTCGGGAGGCTCACAGGAAGGCAATGGGACCTGAGACACTTCTCAGAGTCCCGCTCTGCCCACCAGTGGGCATGACGCAGGGATGGGCCTGGGCCATGGGTCTCCCCAGTAGGCGGCCATGGGAGACGTCCAGGAAGGACTCCCAGTGGGTCTGGAATCAGCACTTCTGCCCCTGACACTGCATAAGAGCCCTGACTCCCTGGGTGCTTGGGTTGCTCTGAGGGAACCAATGACTTCTGGGCTTCACCTGGTGCTTTTGAGCATCACGTGGGACTACTGGAGGGACAGTACTTTCTAGATGAGACCACAAACACACGTGACCCCCACTAATATTACTGTTGACCATTTGACCACGTCTGCTGATGTTGGGGCTGCCAGAGCTTAACAGGCCCAGGGTCTCCCATAAAGGGAGCCCCGTGTGATCCTCTGCTTCTACCTTCCTCACAAATCACCTTCTTTCCTGGTTCCCAGCTCGGAGAATGACCCCGAGTGAGGCCTCAGAGGGACGGAGGATGCTTTCTTCCGTGGAAAGGTGATGGATCTTTCCCCTTGTCTCCAGGGCCCTGTTGAAAGCGTGTTCTGTGCATTTCAGGGATTCAGTGCCCCCTGCCAAGGCCATGGTGGGATGGCCATGGGAACAGGACAGTGAGGGAAGGGCTTGGGGGAGGCTAGCAAGTGGATTGTGATGTCACGGGAGGGGGCGGCAGACTTCAGGGGGCCCCACCCCACTAGACGTGCAGGCTCCCCTTCCCTTGTCACAGTCCTAGCTGCAGCTTTGTACCTCCTGTCTTCTGCAGCCCCCTGGGACAGCGCGATGTGGATATTATATTCCACCTGCATCACCCGGCACCACCACACCCCCTGTGTGAGCTGTGCCGCAAAACAACCCGAAAAGCCAAACCATCCCTGCCCAGGGAATCCCTCCATGCTGCTGCTCCCTCTACGGCCCCTTTCACCTCCAGCACCACATCACTCTCAGCAAGCCCTCCAGGACTCCTGCCTCCAGCCCCTCCGCCTGACCCTTCCGCACCCCAGCCTCTTGCCGTTCTCCATCCCCCATGTCACACTCCATGAGCACAGCCTCTTCTCCAACCAAAGGCCACTTTCTCGTGGAAGACCATTATGTCATTTGGCCCCAGCCTTTCCCGAGACATCGGCCCCTTTCCCCATTCATCCCCGGCCAAGCATCCCACTCATGCCCGTGCTCGTCACCACGCACCGCCAGCCCCGTCTGCTCCACCACTGCCAGACAGCACTTTAGCCGTGACTCCACCTAAACCGGCTCCCGCCTTACTGAAGCTTGCTCTGGAGATGTTCTCTCCTGGTAGGGGTCGTGAACCGTCCCCTATTTTCCCTACAAGGAGACGCACTGACCCTCCAAAGCTGACAGTGTCAGGATTCTTCTGGTGGCAGCCTCATGCCCAGGACTTGTTCCCCTCCAACTGGGCACCCTGTGATTTTAAGAAACAGCATCTCGCCCTCCACTCTTCTGAGGCCTCATTTGCGGGGCACCCTGCAGCCAGCCTCGTAGTGTCTGCTTCCCTCTCCCTGCCCAACTCTGCCCTGCTGGCTCTCTGAGAGAGACTAGTTAGGAAGAGGGGGCAGTTTCTTATGTGTAACGGAATGGAACACAACATGGACTCTATCCTAAAGTAGCTGAGGCCAGGCAACCACCTCAGTGCTTCAGGGACCACGTTGGCAGCAGCTGCCAGTCAGCAGGGCACCACAGGTTCCCTCCCTCACTGCAGCTGTGAAGGGAAAGCAGCGGAGCTGCACCTGTGCCCGCAGCCCCTGTGCCCTGACACCTCGGAGGACAACTTGCAGCAAAAACACCTGGAGCTCCTCTGGCACCTGCTGTCTCTGCATGGTGAGTCCCTGCACTCTGTGGTCCTTCTCCCAGGCAGCTGCTTCTCCACATTTGTTTTCCTCACCACAATTACAAGTTCCTTCAAAGCTGAAGGATCCCTGGCACTTGACCGTCTCCAACTGCTGTGCCTGCCCCAAATCCTGCCCCAGTCTCAGTCCCTAACTCTCACCCAGGTCCGGCCTCTGGCCCCATTTCAATCCCCACTCCCCATCCCACCACCTGGGCCTCTATGCCCGATTCAGATATGTGGGGTGAGTTTGCTTCAGAAGAAAACCGGACTCCACCGTCAACCGAGGCGGCTCATCCCACACGGGTGGGGCTCATGCAACACATGCTGCACTCGTGTGTGTTGGAAACTTCTAAGTCCTCACAGAGAAACTCCTCACATGTCCGCGTCCATGTGCCATCGTCCCCTCTCCTGGGTTTCGTTCATTCGAGGTTATGGGAGAAAAGACCTTCAATATTTGCTATTCAGCCCACCTAGCTTTTGAGAGACCAGCTCAAAAATCCCACTAAAGAAGGATGCCAGCAAGAATCAGGAACTAAGCAAGAGGAATGGCCCAAAAGTTCATCTGGGCACAACAAATTCAAAACATGGAATCTCCAAGTCCCCAGGAAGAAGCTTTAAAGACTTTTTTGGAGAAAAAGTCAGAACAACACAATCAGCTCCCAGCCTGCATCCTCCCCTCCCTGCCTCATCCCCTGCGGGAAAAGTGGCACAGGGAGACCTAAGACCGTCACCCTGTGGTGCCAACTGTGACCTTCCAGAGAAGATCCGGACAGCTGAGGACGGCAGACAGACTGGCCTCCAGGCCCCTCAGGGCAGCACAGACGAGACGTTAGAGGAGTCCCCTGGGGGCGCATCTTCCCCAGCCAAGCCAGCAGAGGGACAGCCTCCTGCTCAGCAACACTTGAGAAAGCGAATGCTCCGACTGTGGCAGTGGCTTCCTAAGCCCAGAAGAAAGCCCAAGGGACAAAAGAATTTTCTGTGGGAGGGCAGCTCCCTGTCGTCTCAGGAGACTTCCTCAACTGCCCTCCTTGGGGGGCCTCAGCACCCTCCCAGCTCCCCCCCAGTGCTCAGGTAGTCCACAGTCCTCCGGCCACCCCTTCCCGTCCTCAGAACACTGGAAGAATTAGGAAACTTTTCCCCTGCATTTGCTGAGGGGGAAAATCACTCCCCCAAAACTTCGACATGGTTCTCTGAATAAATGCTCTGCAAGAGTGATGTCTGTTGTGTGTGCTGTGTTAGGAGAACAAGTTTCGAGCCACCTAGAGCACGTCCTATGTAGGCACAGGCAGGAGTTAGTTCAGCACTTCCTCATGGCCTATTTTGGCTTCCTAAAGATGCCCAGTCCCCTGGAGCTCTAGTGGAGGAATGGCTACCATGTGGCTCCACACCTGTTCCCCCCTGGGGGAGCTGGGCTCTGTGCCTTTCCTGGTTGCTTTGCCTGGTGACATTACGCTGCAGCCCACGCCTTCCCCCTCATTGCGGTTCACAGCCTTTAGAGCAGTAAAGGCGACGGGTCTTCCATAGCTGAAGACACAGTGAAAGACAGGTACACATTTCAGAACATAGTGACTGAATCATTTCTGCCAAACAGCTGTCAGTGACCAGAGGATCACATGTGTAGGTGCAGGGTACGGGGTGTCACTGCTGCAGTGGGGACTGGACGGGGTTGGGGGGAGGGCTAAGGAACGGCAGACACTGCCCAAGAACCTGTCCCGTGGGGCTGGCTCACATGTTGGGGAAGCACACGTGGACCCTGATGGTGCGGTGTCCTTCCTGCAAAGTCACCGTGGGAAGTGGTTCCCAGCACATTTCACAGGTTGCCGGGATTGATGACATTTGCAGAGCAAAGGAATCACCCAGTTGTCAGTGACCGCAGTGTCGCCCAGGCAGCCACTTTCCTCCCAGGGTAAAATAAACCTGATAAGAGAAAAACATACCTTACAGTAAGTGGAAAAGTAAGGAAATTAAAAGGAGGTTGGGAAACATGTCCTTACTGGTGGAACAAAGAAGTTTATGCCCCATTCTGCCTTGTCATGCCCCCGTCCTGCTGCCCCTACCCACTTCCTTAGACTGATCAGGGCACTGCACGACTTGCTAATGCCATTTGGCAGATGTGTTTACTGTAGCTTTATTACTGATTGCCAAGACTTGGAAGCACTCAACGTGTTCTTCAGTAGGTGAATAAACTGGTACGATCCATATAATGGAACATTGTTCAGCACTACAAAGAAATAAGCTAGGAAGCCAAGAAAAGACAGAGTGGAACTGTAAGTGCCTACTGTTAAGTGAAAGACGTCTGTCTGAAAAGTCTACCCACTGTATCATTTCAACCACTTGACATTCTCAAAAAGGCAAATCTGTGGAGACAGTTAAAAGATCAGTGGTTTCCAGGGGCTGAGGGGAGGGAAGGATGAATAGATGGAATAGAAGATTTGGGGGCAGTGAAAATATCCTGTATGAGACTATAATGGTGGATACCTATCATTCTTGATTTATCTAAACCCATAGCAAGTACACCACCAAGAGTGAAGCCTAATGCAACCATGGACTTTGGGTGATTATGATGCATCAGTGTAGGTTCCTCAATTGTGACAAATGCAGGACTCTGGTGGGGGATGTGGATAATGGGAAAGCTGTTTGTGTGTGGGGGTGGGGGATGTGGGAAATCTTCGTAATTTCCTCTCAGTTTTGCTGTGAGCCTAAAAGTGCTGTAACAAATAAAGTCTTTTTTAAAAGGGGAGAAATTTAAGCAGACAGTTCTCTGCAGAAATACATGCATAGTGTGCAAGAAAGTTAACATAGCAGGTCGACACCACTATCCATAGAAAGACCTACTTGCAAGGTTGGCCCTTGGCTGACATCTAGGAATTTGGCTGGTAACCAATTCCTAAACTGTTATACAATTTCCCTGGGTGACTCCTGGGGAAGCCTACACATGGAGTCCTCCAGACTCTGCCTGTGGCTTCTTACCTTATGACCTGGCTGTGTATCTTTACTACACTACTGTAAAGAATCTTAGCCATGAGTACAAGTGTCTGCTGAGCCCATGAGTCCTTCTAGTGAATCCTCCAACAATAGGGATGGTCTTAGTGACTCCCATCTCAAATTTCCAATTGGTCACCACTTTCAGTCACAGCATGGAAATGTAAATTAAACCACAATGATATATATACATATTAGAATGGCTAAAATTACAAACACTAACAACCACGCCAAGCATTGACAGAGATCTCTAGAGGGAATATAATTGCAGTTTCGTGGTTTCTTTAAAAGTTAAAAAGACATCTACTATGGGACCCAGCCATTTCTCTCCTAGGTATATATATCCAAGAGAAAAGGAACCAAATGTCTATATGACGACTTACACACAAATGTTGATAAAAGCATTATGCAAAACTGCAAGAAAAATACCTATCAGCAGGTAAATGGATAAGCAAACTGGGATAAAACCATAATATAAGACAATCAATTAGCTGGGTGGTGGGGTGCGTACATGTAGTCCCAGCTCCGTGGGAGGCTGAGGTAGGAGGGTCTCTTGAGCCCAGGAGTTTGAGGTTGTAGTGAGCTATAATGATGCCACTGCACTCTTGCCCAGGCAACATAGGAAGGGGAGGGGAGGGGAGGGGAGGGAAAGGAGAGGAAGGGACAGGAAAGGAGGGGAGGGGAGGGAAAGGAGGGGAGAGGAGGGGAGGGGAATACTACTCAACAATGCAAACAAAGAAATTTTGATGCATGATGAATCTCAGAATAATTATGAGTGAGAGAAGCCAAACAAAAAGTCATATATACTATATGATTTCATTTATATAAAATTTTTTTTTAAGTTTTAACATGTTTATTTTATATCATGATTTCTTAGTCCTTGTTAAGATGATACAATTTGGGGAAACATATATTCCCTTCCCTTTTTTGTTGCATGTGTGTCAGCAGGAGTAGGAAGAACAGAGTATGAGAGAATAAGCAAAGAGTACAGGAAAGGGAAAGATGGAGAGAAAGATGAAGTTGAAGAGACACACAGACTGTTTATATGAACCCCCCTCTAAATAAGCAGTATCAACCAACAAAGTACAGAGTTGACAACATGGAGTCCTTTCTTCTCATGAAAATCATCTGGTACCACATTCTAGATACATTACACAGCATATAGCATCTTCCAGCAGACATCATGTGTATTTTTTTTCTCACTTTAAAGCCTCAAAGATGACATTATTTGCAAAGTATTTTTAGTGTACTATTAAGCAAACATTAATTTGATCATATAAACCAATCCTGGTTAGCAGAAAGCACTGTTAGCTGCCACATAAAGGTCCTTCTTTCAAGTAAAACTTCATAGAACTTAGTATCAGAGGAATTTCTTGAAGGAACTCTGTAGATTAAATTAAGATCACACCTTGATTAGAGGTGTATATATAATGGCCTCTGGCAAAATTAGCTAATATCTTGTCCAGACAGTAACTGTAAATTAATTGTTCTCTGTAGCCTTCCTCTGCCCCCTAGTTCCCACAAAGGTCTGCATCCAAATGCTTTGGTGCTCCACAAGTAACCACGAGGCAGAGCAGCCTCTGCACTGGAGATGCCTGTCCCAGGGGAGATCAGTATATGTGAAGATAACCCTGAATTGTATTCATCTCATCAGTTCTGCCCAATCCACAGGGGTAAAAAATGGATGAGATTTAATATCTTCAACACCAGCAACTCCAGCACCAAGCCGTTCCAGAGGGTTGAACTGCAAGAGCTGTTGAATGAGTGAGCGAGCCTCTTCAGAGACACATTCTGGCATGTTCAAAGTAGTATGAGTATTTATTCCTGCTGGATGGCACTCAACCAGAGTCTTGCCAGTGAGAAGTTCAAAGAGGACAGCACCCAAACTCCACCAATCACAGGCTTCAGTTTCTTCTGTGATTGCTCCAACCTCTGGGGCACAGTACATTCTCTCTATGGCATTGCTGTCACAGGAATCTTCAACCTCACTCCACCTGCTAAAATACGTTAGCTGAATGTGTCCTCTATCATTCAATAAGATGTTGTTTGGGTTCAAATCACGGCACACAATTCCCTCTCTATGTAAAGCATCAAGGGCTACCACCGTTTCAGCTGCCCATCTTTGAATGCAGCCCTCTGGGATGTAAAACCTGGAGTTTAGTGCTAATTTTTTTATCAAGGTCCTCAAAAATCTGATGTATTTCCTTGTCTCCTTCTAGTGCTAACCTACTTTCTCCCTTAGACTCAGAGTCTCTCTGGAATAAAGAAGTCGGTTCCTCTTTAGCCAAATCATCAGTTTGATCTGTAAACAGCAATACTTCTTCTGTTTTTAAAGTGTCTGTGTTTGCAATATATTCATTAGCACCTGAGAGTGGACTAGAAATATGCAATAAGCTTTCTTCGGTGTTATCTGTAGTTACTGCTGAATCAACCACTCCAAGTCCTTGAAACTTAGGATCTGAGCTGTGTAACAAAGACATGTCTCCTGAACTACTATGATCAAGAGCTGCTACAAATAAGGTCCCAAGATCCTCCTGTGCATAGTGTTTCTCTGTTATACTATGAGATCTGGGCCTAGAGGGATCACTCAATTCCTCTGTGCCTTTCTCTTCATGTGCTTGGCACTGTTCAGTACTAAGACTGAGGCATAAAACATCAGGGGCTTCCAATAGTTTACTTTCTATTATGCCTGTATTAGTCTGTGTAAACTTAGTAGGTCCTATTCCTGCAGCTTCTTTTGTTGGCTCCAATTCACCAGGTAAATTTACAAGATCAGGTCTTCCTTCAGCAGTACCACTGACATCATCAAAAGCAGCATCTTTAAATGAAATAACTGGCACTGAGTCATCTGAGCCCCTGCTAATGGTGTCCTGAGCTTTAAACTGTACCAGGCTTTCACTAGTATTAAAACTCTTGGAATTGCTGTCTCCATCTGGAAGAGTAAAGAATGGTTTTAAAGGTTCTGATTTTAAACTATACGATTTTTCTCCAAAATCAAGTCCCAGGAGTTCACTTGTGCTATCCTTACTGTCTATCCTAAAAAATTCCATGGGGCTATTTTTGGATCTACTGAGGGAATCTGAAGTTCTTGGAGAACTAACTGCTTCTGGGTCATCATCTCTAGGGAAGAACTTCAGCTCATGAGCTCTTGGCTGAGTGCTGGTGCCGTCACTGTCAGCAACAAGGTATGCTGGGAAGCTTTTAATAGCTGTGGTATCAACACCGTTCCCTTCAGTCTTCATGAAGGGCTCCTTGTTCAAAGACCCTGGCTCAATCTTTTCTTGCCCATATTCATTACATAATGTTAAATAACTAGTAGTGCATTCTTCTTCTGAACTTGAACCAGAATCTGGCCACTTTGGAGAGCTATCTTGGCCATCGTCTTCCTGGTTGCTATCATCTTGAGAACTTGGAGTAAGACTAGTCTTCAAAGGCAGAACTTGAAGCATGCTTGCACCATCACTTCCTCTGGATTCAAAGCTGCTGCTGTCCTGAGGACTAGAAGTTGGCTGTTGCAGGTGAACTTTAGTAAGTGTAGATTTTTTCATTTCCTTGATTTCAAAGCTTTCTTCAGGACTTCTGCTCAAAAATTTACTGATATATGACCAGAGCTTGCCACCTTCTGCATGCTGCAGCACAAGAAATACTGACTCCTCAGAGATGATGTACTTGTGCAGACACACCATGTTGGGCACACAGCGGGGGATGATGGTCTTTCTGTTCCTGCTGTATTCACTGCTTTTCCTCAGACCTTTTAAAATGAATGTCTGTTCTGTCCTTGTGTCCATTACAAGTAAAACCTTGTCAATCACCCCAAGGACTCTGAAGGCCTTAGGGCTCCTTAGGTTCCAAGGGGGCCTTGAACTTAGTGATCCTGGAGGCTGAGATACATCATCAAGTTGAGGTTTGCCATAAAGACTAGAGATACTTTCTGCCCGCATGAGATACTCTGATGTTCTTCTCTTTACCGCTTCTCGACGGGTAGGGCTTGACTCTCCTTGAACACCTTCTAGGAGTAAATCAACTCCTTTCCTGTAAAAATCAGAAGCAGCTTCATAGTTGTCTTCTTCTTCCTTTTTTAAAGCCAACTTTATTAATTCTCCTGCTTTTTCCAAATAATCTCTCTTGCCAAGCTTGGACTTTAAACTGCCAGGAAAGAGGCTACGACTTTCCTGTTCTTCTTCTGTTTTGTTCTGTTCACTTTCAGAAGCAACAGCCCCTAGTGCTGAAGAATCCGAAGAAAGAGTGAGACCAAAAGTTCTAATGGGAGAATTTTGATTGGAAGCCATTCCATCATCCAACTCAGCAAGAGAATCCACATCAACAGTAAGAGATATCAGATCACTGTCACTGGAGAAGCCTTCTGTACTACACTCAGGAAAAGTATCAATGAAGGGATCTGAGTAAGCTTCAGGAGGACCAATTAATTCAGAACCATCATTAATTATTCCACCCTTGAAAAAATCTTCAAGCTGTTTACTGTTGTAAAGAGCAGGAATATTGGCAGAGAACTGTAGCAGGTCTTCAGCACAGTCTTCTCTCTTCAATAACAGCTTCATCAAATCGCCCAAACACTATTCCTTTAGCAAAGGGAGGAAACAATTCTGAATGTCGGAATAAGTGAATTTGTGAATTTGCCACAGTTCTTTGTGTAGTTTCTTAAAATCACTGTATCTCTTCCATACGATTATAAGAGTTTTCTGATGAATGGTTCACCAACAGTTGTTATTATAAAAGAGTTTTCCCCAAAAAAGGATTAAGGAAATGGCAGAAAGTATGTTCATGGATAGGTTGGTTCAGGATTCTCCCTCCTGGACATCCTCTGGATTTCTTCCTGAAACAACCCTGGCGGTGACTTTATACACTGTGTAGCCCCTCGGGTGTCGCTGGGGCTCGGTGACAGTATAGAATCGGGCCAGGTCGGCACCCCGCTCCCAGGAAGAGGTCATTCTCCCGGCGCCTCTGCCACCACAGCCCGCCGGGGATCATCAGGGCAACTCGGCGCCGCCGCGGTCCAGGTTCCCCACGCAGCTGCAAAGCAGTGAGGAGGCGGCGGCTCCACGGCGGCGCCTCCGCCGCACCTCATTTATATAAAATTTTAGTAAATTGATGTAAACTGTATGACTCCAACCACCTGATATTTTGGAAAAGACAAATCTATAGAGACAGTAAAAAGATCAGTGGTTTATAGCGACAGGAAGCAGATCAGGGCCAGAAGTTATGAAATTGTACGTACAGTTTATTTTACTTCAGCAAACCTTAATTACACCTGGATAACACTGTTTTCTTTAAGTACACATGGAAGTCAGCAAATATGTAGGTACTTTTACAGAAATGTTACAGAGGTAAAAGCAAATTCCTGAGACCCACCAAATCAAGGACTTTGGGCTTGGATCTGGGATCCAAATTCCTGCTACAAATCCTTAGCACCAAGTGTGTAATCACTGGTATTCAATAAAGCAACTCGGTGACAGCAGACTTCTCACTTACATTAAAGCTTAATAAGCATTCTGCTGTGAGCTACCATAAATTTCAAAAGGCTTTGACTGTTGGGGAAGTTTTCGGGCTACCTTGAAATGAACTTTTCCATCTTGGATAATTCTGTCAACACCAGTGGCAACAGAAGATGAAAAGCAACAACATTTAAAAATATTGAGAAGTTGTGAAAGGCTTCCTACATGTTGCTGGGACACAGAGAGAGAGCTCATGTGAGTGAGGAATGCCAGTATTTACAGCCCCTCTGCAGCAGAGCTGGAGCTTGCCTGTAAGAGTCCGGACTTCTGTGGACATCCTGTTTCTAGTACTAGAACAACAGGAAAATACCATTAGGTTCTATTTTCATCAGTACATGATGCTAACACACACACACACACACACACACACACACACACGCAGACAAAAGAATCCCAATGGTCAGAGTCCTCAGCTGGTAATTAGTGAAAAGGTCAACATATTCCTTCAGTTGTGGCCTCCACTCAAGGATTCTAGTTATAAATCTCCATGGCCTTCCACTACTGCCATTTCTCAGTTCTCTCCTATCTTCCATGGAATGTACTAGCACAACTACATATTTAATATAGACTGTATATATTATTATATTGTATGTGTAAGGTAATATAGCATATATGATTGTCATATGATGTTTATAATACATATGTTTCTCATATATCATTTTAAAATATATTACATATATCATTATTAGTCTTAGTAATATTAATTATATACTACACAATATTAAAAGTATTATTAATTATATAATATGTAATATATATCACACATATACAACATATATATAATACACAGTATACATATATAATGTAATCATTTATAAAAAACTAATGAGGAAAGAGGAAAGCCTCCTGGGCTCTGTGTATTACTCAGTCCTCACAACATTTCTATCAAGGAGACCTTCCTGTCCCCATTTTGCCACACAGAGATGATAAAATACTTGCTCGATTCATGCCAGAGAGTTTTTTTTTTATATAGTCCAGATTTTTGTCTTCTTGTGCATACTGTTGTAGACATAACTTAAGCTCACTGCTATTATTCCTCACTTAACAGCCCAAACTGGCTTGAAGATCTCCCCCATTCCACCCTATCCCAACCCTGCCAAAGGAGACTGCCCAAGATAGCACTCCTTTCTCATCATGGTGTTTCCCTACCCTCAACCCTCGGACAGCTCTCCATGGCACATAAGGACATTTTAGGACACCCCTACAAATCACCTTCAAGGTCCCAAGCTCTTGGCTCTTCCTTGTATCCCACAACCCTATAACTTGCACACAGTACAACCACACCAGAAGGTTCTCTAGTCCCTAAACAGCTTACACTCTCCTCTGTTTCACACTGCCTCCACCTCCTCTTCCTAAGATATGCATCCCATTCCCAACTCCCATATCTACCTGTTCTAATCCTACCTGTCCTCCAAAGATGCAACCTCATCCACAAAGCCTTCCTAAAACTCTTCAAGAAGAAGAATCTTTTCTGTGCTCACCTAGAACTTGACATACCCATGTACTTGTATCTTACCAGACCTTGTCTAGTACATCATTGTTTTGCACATAACTATGTCTTCAAGACTACAAGCTCCTCAGGGCAAGGACAATTCCTTTCTGCTGATTAAAAAGCTCCTCATTCTAGCACAGTTCTTAATACAGCATAGGTACTCAAATGTTCCAGGAAATCATTAGTGGAAAGGCAGCAGGAACTTCCCCCACTGAAAAATTTCATATATAAATTGCAATTGTGGTGGATACAGAGGTATCAGGGAAAGAAGAAACACATTAAACAGTAAACTGCATTTTATTTACCAACTTTAAACTTAGCAACTAAACATATTCTTTTCAAAATAAAGCTATAAATGCACTTAAATGGGTACCTTGCATTCTCTGTCTTCCTAGCATTCTCAGCAAAAACATATATAAGCACAACTACAAGTAAGAAGTGTGGATTGGCCAGGAACACTGGCTCATGCCTGTAATCCTAGCACTCTGGGAGACGGAGGCAGAGGATTGTCTGAGGTCAGGAGTTTGAGACCAGCCTGAGCAAGAATGAGACCCTGTCTCTACTAAAAATAGAAAGAAATTAGCCGGAACACTAAAAATATACAGAAAACATTAGCTGGGCATGGTGGCACATTCCTATAGTGCCAGCTATCGGGAGGCTGAGGCAGGAGGATTGCTTGAGCTTAGGAGTTAAGGTTCCTGTGAGCTAGGCTGATGCCACAGCACTCTAGCTCCGGCAACAGAGCGAGACTCTGTATAAAAAAAAGAAAAGAAAAGAAAGAGAGAGAGAGAGAGAGAGAGAGAGAGAGAAAGAAAAGGGAGGAGGAGGGGGAGGGGAGGAGGAGGAGGAAGAAGAAGAAGAAGAAGAAGAAGAAGAGGAAGAGGAAGAGGAAGAGGAAGAGGAAGAAGAAGAAGAAGAAGAAAAGAAAGAGGTGTGGATAATTACATGATCCCAGCTAAGTAGCCTGTGGGAAAACAAATAAAAATATTATAAATTCAAGAATGAAAGATATTCTATTCTCTATTACTTCCATATATGGTAGCACTACAGCAAGTAAAAAATTACATCCAGGGAAATGGTGATCTCTTAAAAAAAGAAATCAGATAACACTCCCCTGCTTAAAGACCTCTAATGATTTTGTGACACACTTAGGAAAATATCAAATTCCTTACCCTAAGATTACAAAGCCCCTGAAAATCCTGCTGGGACTTGCACTCAGCCCAACTCCTGCTCTGCCCACCCCTTCAGCCCACTTGACCACACTAATGCCAAGACCCATCTCTCTCAGGTTGGGCTCTGCCTGGTACCTCTGCCCACTGCTCTTCCTCCGCGTCTTCACTTGGCTGCTTCCTTCCATCTTTCAACTTCCAGCCCAAATCTCATCTGCCTTGACCACCTAACTAAAGGTTACAAACCACCACCACCAGCAGCACCACAGTCTGTCTCCACCACATCATATTGTTTAATTGTCTTTATAGCACTGATTAAAACCTAAAATTATCTGCTTCTTATCTTGGCTGTTTAGTGTCTGTCTACTTGCACTATAATCCCCATAAACACACAGTCATCTCGGCCACTACAATTCTAGAACAGTGGCTGGCATATGGAAGATGCTCAAAAACATTTGTATCTGCCTGAAGTGCATTTTACCCCATGAAGATGAAGATGTACTTTTTTGCATTCTCTAGATTGCCTGTCCCTCTGGAACTATGGATTAGTTGAAAACACCAGGGACTTGGAATCTTTAGATGTGTGTCTCAATCCTGATTCTGTCATTTATTTGCCTTGTGACGTTGGCAAGGTCATTTAAAATTGAACTCTAGCTGCAAATTGTTCAAACAGGGCTTCTGCCATGTATCTTAGAGCAGAGCTTTGCATACGTGAGGTGCATCAATTTGGCTCTCAGTTCTTCCATATTCTGAAGTTCTTTCAACAAAAAGTTTCTTTCTCCTCAGGAATGATGTTGCACAAGAAACAAATGTTCAAGCTTAACATTCATGAAGTAAGAGAGTCACATAAATGATTCCTGAAAGAGAGAAATGTCTCCTTTTGGGGCCAGGAGACTGAGTAAGGAAGAGTAAAATCCAAACACTTAACCCTCAGAAAACTATGCTCCAATTAAGATAACAGCAATAATAATTAATACTCACAGTGAGTGCTATATAAGGGTTTACCATGTGCCAGGCATTGCTATTAATCTTCACAACAATCCTTGAGGGCATTACCATAGTTATTCCCATTTTACAGATCAGGACACCCAGGCACAGAGAGGTTAATAACTAGGAAGGCTGTCAGTGGCAACAGAAACACAATGATGACCACAGATGAGGCTCCTCTCACTCCATCTTCCACACTTTTCTCAGCCTCCTCACCCTTCCTCTCCACACAGATCTCTGCTTGTTTGTCATCTTCCTCTTCTTCCTCTAGCCCACTCTGGAGGCATAATGTAACATATTCTGCCCCAAGGTGACAACACACCAGGCCACCAGTGAGTAGCGTGCCAGCAAGACTGTGCAAAACACATGGAGACTTATCTCCCCTCCCAGGGAGCCCCCTCGGCCATGCCACAGTAAAGCACAGTCTCATCTACTCCCATCTCACTCCTGTCCTCCAAGGATGGCCAAGTATGCATAATCTGAACACTAGAGCGGGAAAGCACTTTCCAACCAAGGAAAAAGGATCCGTAACTGCTTCCAATGCTTACAAACCTGCTAGAACACAACTCCAGGAAATTAAGTCACTACAGTGACACTGAGCTACGTGACCACACACTTCAGTCAAATACTAAGAAACGGGAGAGCTAGAACGAATGCTGAGATTAATTTTCCTATAATAAATGTTTTAAAAAAAGCTTTCTGGGAGGCAGAGCAGAGTTGGTAACAACAACCTTATCCCATGTCTTGAAAGTTATTTAAAAAAAAAAGAAATCATTAAGAAACAAGGCTTTGAAAACATGATTTGAAAAAGTCACCTAGCTTTGGGAAGAACTAGTGATCTACTTCATTACTTTCTTTCCTAATTTTTCAGATTCAACATTAGAAATTCTCAGGTGTTTCAAGAGATATGACTGCAGGAGTGTGGAGAAAATTCCAGTAAAAATAATATCGCCATCCATATCCTCAAAATTTGCTCTGGGGAATCAGGCCACAGCTGTTAGAACTGCAGATCTGCTGAAGTATGAGAGGAGAGAAGGGTCTGCTGTTTGTTTACATTTGACTTTTCTATAGGAACATAAATACCATCTGATAACATTTGTAGGCAGAGAAAAAAGCTTGAAAAAAATGTTAGTTTTATTAAAGACAAAATAAAGACCATGAGATGAAAAAAAAATGTTTTTCCTTTAAAAAGAAAAAGATGGGCCAGGGGTAATGGCTCACACCTATAATCTTAGCACTCTGGGAGGCTGAGACAAGAGGATGGCTTCAGTCCAGGAAAATGAGGTTGCAGTGAGCAATGATGTTGCCATTGCACTCTAGCCTGGGAGACAGAGCTGGAATGTGTCTCCAGAAAAAAAGAAAAGAAAAAAATGAATTAATTCACTGCCTACTTTTAAAGAAGCCGTTTTTGATTTATCTGTGAAAATAATTTCCAAACTCCATCCTTCCACCAAATATTTATTGAGCACTTACTAGATGTCAGATTCTGTAGAGGTGATGCCTGCCCTCAGGAGCTTACAGTCTAGTTAGCAAGACAGTTGTTAAGTAGGAAGAGATTCAAAATCCTCACTGTGACTATGACAAGTGCTATAAAGGAGGGACCCAAATGAACTTACAAAAGGGAGTTTGGCCTAATGAGGCCTGAAGAGGTGAGAATGGAGGTGAGATTCCAAGGTAGAGGCTAACTAGAATTTCATGATTCTGTGTTGGAGTTTTGATATGCATCACCAAATCTCAATCTCAGTAGTCATGGAAACACCCCTGGGAAATACATGAACTTTATGCAAAGGTAGCTTACCTAGAAAACTCTAGGACATTATAAATTTCAAAAGTAAAATTTTCTCCCATCTATAGGAAGATAAGACAACATATCCTTACCTGAGGAAAAAAGTACTCATCTTGCAAAATCATTCACTACCCTAGTAGACACAAACAAGTGTTACCCTCCAAATACACATATTTTTCAAAACATAAATTTTCTTGCCAGCCTGATGAGATGATGGCACCCTCCTCTGGTAAGAGCATTGTTTGCAACCTGGGCAATTCTAAATGCACAAGTGTTTCTAACAGCACAGATTTAGGACAAATGCACCTCTCTTCCCAATCTAAACTTGGCACTATTAGAAACATTTGATGAATACTCTCAGGTGGCAAGGGTACCTGTAGTGAGTGAGACACTCGGCCAACAGCAATGGGACAATAGATCAATCTTTTTGCTATATTGCACAGGTCAAATGAAATCCTCAGTGCTTAGATAACTTGAGGAGGTAAATATGGGAAGATGTGGCATGCTATGTAAAAAGTTTTACAGCACTGTTACATTCTTTTCCAAATAGTTCCACTCATAGCCTCTTGATTTCCGGTAGCCCAGATGAATTTATCTCAGAATCTGCTAACTCCCAGCATCACCAATGAGGCACTGCAGAAGTTTAAAGAATTTGACCATTTCGGTGTGGGGAATGGGGTAAACCTACAACTAATAGAAGCAGAACGTGCTGTATGGCGGAAGGTCACACTTATAGCCCTGGCTTGGGGGAGGCAAACACATTACATGTAACCAAAATGTTTGTTATCCCCATAATATCCTGAAATAAAAAAATTTTAAAACAAGAATTTTAAATTTGAGAGTCATCATGCACCAGGTACTATAGACATAAAGATGAATTAATCAGTAGCTTGTACCAAGGACTCAATGTCTAGTAAACGTCTCTAACCATAGCATTAGTATTAAAAAAACAAAGTCCCTATGTTGGTCACCATGTTTGCACTGCTTCAATTTCTTCCCCATATCAAGACTTGTGGTTGTCAAGACAGAAGAAGGATATATATATATATATACACACACACACATACACACACAATAAAGTGAATAATCTGCACAATAACAGAACTCAGCAAAAATAGTTTGAACCACGTTAATTCCTCATACAAAAAACCTAGTATATTTCTTGAAGTTCTAAGGATGTTAACTCTTTGGAATAACTCACTTTAATTGTGTACATTCTATGTGCCAGGCACTAATTCCAAGTACATTACAGATATTATCATGTTTAATCCTCATAAGGACCTTATGACAGGCTTAATGATAAAACTGGGGCAAATATTAAGAAGTGAAGGAGCACGTCTGAGAATCATGGCTGGAAAGAGTGGGGCCAGTTGGAATCCCAGGCACTGTGACTGCAGGGCTCCTATTCTGCACCACTACATACCTGTCACTCTCTGGAATAGCAGGTCAATGTAAAGTGGCGACAAGTAGTCAGGGTGCTACTCACAGCTCCTATAGTGACAGAGTATGATGTCCTTGTAGTGAAAACAAAGCCAAGGATTTTTGCTCCTTTCACTAAAGCTGCCTCATCTGTCAACAAAGAGTTTGTATGAGCAGGAATTGAGCGAAGGTATAACATTGAAGTTAATTTCATATAGATTGCCACTGTCCAGCACTAAAATGTCACGTCTAAAAACTTGACTTTTTTGACCCAAATGCACCTATCTGTCCTTCTAGGTGCTAGATACTGCTCATGAAAGAGGAAATTTGGTTAAATAGTGCCTTTTTCAGCTGCACTAAGATGATTTTACCAGACTTTCAGTGAAATGTTTTCCTACTCTTCATCAGGATCTTGTCTGGTCTCAGAGCCATTGACAGCACATCCATGAAATATTGTAGGGCCTTGACTTTACCTCTCCTAAGTTACTGGTTATCACCAAACACTCTGAGCCCCAGGTTATCCCAGAGTTTAGGGCTGGGGGACCAGGAGCCCCGGAGCTGTAGAGAGGCTCAGAGCTGTTCTGTAGCACAAATGCAAGACATGTAAGAACTCAAGGGCAGGATGAAAGCAGCAGCAGTCAGGGGTTCAGTGGCAGCACCCACCTCCTCTGAGACCTCATGACTCATTGGGCATGATGGGCTATGTGTGTTTGACACCTATTTGGGGAGGATGCCTGGTAGATTATACTCTTTCCATCTCTCTCAGGAACAACAGGGTGGCACATATGTAACAGGGTAAAAATTCCCTTAGGTATCTTCCTGTGGGCTACAAAAAATGCACAGAGTTCATGAGTCCTTTTCAACTTTGGCAACATGAAAGTTACATATAGTCTGTAATTTGTGCCAACTGAGGTTTGACCGCAGGTACATTAAAATTCAGGCACCAGCCAAAAACCATATCGCATATTCAAAATGTGTTTGTGGAGAGGCTGCCAAGTTCGGGAAGTGATTCTTTGGGTAGTGTAGACATTTTAACAACTTTGATTCTGCCGACCCGTGAACATGGTATGGTTTTCAACCTGTTTATGTCCTCTGCTTCCTCAGTGTTTGATGGTTCTCCCTGTAGCGGTCGTTTATCTCCTTTGTTAAATATATTCCTATTATAATATCAACATCATTTTTCACAGATATAGAAAAAAATAATTCCACGTTTCGTATGGAACCAGAGAAGCCCCCGTGTAGCCAAAGCAATCTTAAGCACAAACAACAAACCAAGAGGTTTCAATTTATCACACTTCAAGCTATATTACAAGGAAGCCTATAGTAACTAAAACAACATTGTATTGGCATAAGAACAGAGACATAGGCCAAGGGAACAGAACTAAGAAACCAGATATAAAACCATCCTCATGTAGCCATCTAATCTTTGACAAAGCAGACAAAAACATACACTGGGGAAAGGAATCCTTATTCAATAAATGGTGCTGGGAAAATTAGATAGCCACATGTAGAAGACTGAAACAGGATCCGCACCTTTCACCTCTCACAAAAATCAAATCACAGTGGATAACAGACTTAAACCTAAGGCATGAAACTATAAGAATCCTAGAAGAAAATGTTGGGAAAACTCTTATAAACATTGGCCTAGGGAAAGAATTTATGAAGAGGCCCCAAAGGCAATCACAGCAACAACAAAACTAAATAAATGGGACCTAATCAAATTAAAAACCTTCTGCACTACCAAAGAAACTATCATGAGAGCAGACAACCTACAGAATGGGAGAAAATATTCACATGCTACACATCAGATAAAGGGCTGATAACTAGAATCTATATAGACCTCATGAAAATCACCAAGAAAAAATCAAAGACAAGTGGGCAAAGGACAAGAACAGAAACTTTTCAGAAGAAGATAGATGGCCAACAAACAAAAAATTCTCAACATATCTAATCATCAGGAAATGCAAATCAAAACCACAATGAGATATCACTTAACTCCAATGAGAATGGCCTTCATCAAAAAGTCCCAGAACAAGCAGGACGGTGGCCATGGAAGTCGGAATCCGCTAAGGAGTGTGTAACAACTCACCTGCCGAAAAAAAAAAAAAAAAAAAAAAAAAAAAGTACCATACCATAAATGTTGGTATGAATGCAGAGAGATAGGAACACTCATATACTGCTGGTGGGACTGCAAACTAGTATAACCTCTGTGGAAAGTAATATGGAGATACCTCAAAGAGATACAGGTAGAACTAATATTTGATCCAGCAATCCCATTACTGGGCATCTACCCAAAAGAACAAAAGAAATTCTATTAAAAAGACATCTGCACTAGAATGTTCACAGCAGCACAATCCACAACTGCAAAGATGTAGAAACAACCCAAGTGCCCATCAATACATGAGTAGATTAATAAAATGTGGTATATGTATACCATGGAGTTCTACTGAGCCACAAAAAACAATGGTGATATAGCACCTCTTATATTATCCTGGATAGAGCTAGAACCCATTCTAAGAAGTGAAGTTTCTCAAGAATGGAAAATAACCACCACATGCACTCACCATCAAATGGGTATTAACTGACCAACACTTAAGTGCACAGATAGTAGTAACATTCATCAGGTATTGGGCAGGTGGGAGCAGCGAGGAGGGGATGGGTATCTTCACACCTAATGTGTACAGTGTGCACCATCTGAGAGATAGACATGCTTGAAGCTCCCAGATGGGGCAAAAGCAATATATGTAACTGAAACATTTGTATCCCATAATATGTTAAAATAAAAAAATAAAGGTAAAAACAACAAAAATTACAAACTCAAAGCTTATATGACAAAAAATATATATATGTATATTCATTTAGATATCATGGGTGTTTGTTATTCTTTTTACATTTCTTTATTCTTTTCATTTTTCTGCTTTTCTCAAACGTTTTAAAATCTAAAAATAATACGATAATGGTGTAAAAAAATGAAAAAAAAGAGGAACATATTTGTATAAGGAAAATAATCAACATTGCCTATTCCTGGGGTAAGGGCTTATAGGTAAAATTTTCACTCCAGACTTTTCTATATATTCAAATTTTCTACCATGAATGTCTTAAAGAAATAAAATATTTTGCTGAAGCTTTAAAAAAGAATGAAAGAACATGCAATAACTTAAAAATGATTTTAAGTGTCAAGCTGTGTCCTACTAAATTCCTACTACATTCCTCTAACAAGTAAAACATTGTACTCAAATTGATAAGACATCCTGGGAGAATGACAGAAGCAGAGAGCTTCCTGGTAGAGAACACAGGGAGGTTCGGGAAGGGTGGTTGCTGTGCCCAGAGGGGGCAAGGAAGCTCTGTCCCCCATCCAGCCTTGCCCTGGGCAACTCTTCCATTTGGCTGTTCCTGAGTTGTGTCCTTTATCATAAATGCTTTACTGAGACCTGTGAGTTGTTCTAGCAAATTATCAAATCTGAGGGGGACTGTGAGAACCCCTCAATTGTTCACCAAGTTATTTGGTGCAAGTGGTCTGGAAACCCCATTTGCAACTCACATGTGAAGTGAGGGCAGTTTTGCGAGACTGAGCCCATAAACCTGTGGGGTCTGACGCCAGCTCCAGGCAGTTAGTGTCAGAATTGAATTGAACTGTAGAACATCCAGTTGGTGTCCGAAGAGTTGGCATCAGAACTGGTTGGTGTCAGGAGAGGGAAGAAAGCCCACACACCCCTCCTCCAGGACATTCCTCCTACCACACGGGGTCTCAGGGTCTTTCATAGAGTACTCAGATCCCTCTGGTCATCCCAGCTTTTAGTGCCGGGCTTTCCACTTCTGGTAAGTCTGATGTTAGAATGTCCTACAGCAGGTGTGTAGGCCACTGAAAAAAAACACTAACACCTAATATATTTAATGATTACGAAAAGCTTTTGTTGAATTTGATGTCCCATTTAATAGATAAATTCTGTGATATTCCATTTAATAGATAGACAAATTGAGGCTCAGAGAAGTCAATCAGCCACACAAGGAGTGAGCGTCCATGTAACCATGAGTGTCCACATAACCATGGGGCCAGCCTAGGTAAAATCGAGGCATCTCTAGACACTCTTGGTGCTATTTATTACACAAAAGCAAATTGGTTGGGTAATGTCACTCCTCAACCTGGAGACCTTGGCCTTTGCTGATTGTACAAAAGAGGAAGAAAGTGTGGGCCCAGCTCCCTGAGGCCTGGCTTTGCAGGGATAAGGCAGGGGCTGTTCTGCTTTCAGGCGGAAATGCTTACTAGCTGCGTGTCTGGCTGCTCACAAAGCACAGAGACCCCTGGGATGGAGACAAATACTTCAGTGCCCCTTGGAGTATGGCAGGATAAGCTTTGGGGCTCAGGAAGCCCCCAAAACCATGAAAGCCTGGGAAGGGTGCTCCCTGGCCCAGGTCTAATGTTTCCCCCTGGCAGGCGTAGGGGCCCCACCCATCCCGAGTTCCTGGGCCTGGGCCCCACACCCGAGTGCCAGGAAAGTCTGCGCCCTGGGTCTGTGGGCAGGCTCTGGGTGCTGGGCTGGTGGAGGCCTGTATGAACATGCATGCACTGTGTGTTGTATGGTCTGCACCCACTGCAGCAACAGCCTGTCTGGGCCTGAGCCGCTTGCAACGCCTCCTCTGGCCACACCTGCCATGGGTTTCCTCTTGGTGACGTTTTCTTCCTGCTCTGGCTGGCTAGGGCTGTGGTCACTGGCTGGTGTCTCAGGGCCAGGAGAGATCTGAAGAGACTGGGGACCCTGGAAGACCACCCCTGTCTTGCCTCTCCCCTTGCCCACCTCCTTGCCAGCCTTGCAGCTCAAAGATTAATCCCAGGAGTCCAGAGCCCAGGAGAGAGAAGAATCTGAGGAACACAGAACCGTGAGTGTCACCCACATCTGATCACCCACCCTCCTATTCCCCCTCCCAGGCCCTGGGCCCCACCCTAGTACCCCCATATAACCTGACTTCTTCCAGTGTCTCCCAGTCCCCTCCAGGCTCCTCCCTCCCAAGACTTTTCCTACCACTCCCTTCCCTGACCGCCAACACCATCTATTGGCAGATGCCCTGGGGTTTCCAAAACTGGGCTCTAAATGCTGAATAGGAGTTTACCAAGCCAAGCTGAGTGAATCCAGTGGGAGTACCACAGTGGGAGATGGTAGGGGCCAAGGCAAAGGAGACCACTCTTCTCTGTCTGCCTGATGCCCCTCACCACCCATCCACTTCCCCTGCCCCCTGAACATCCTCCAGTCCCCCTACTCTAGAACAGAGATGGCCAGCAGAGCCCAGTTGGGCTATTACTTGGAGCTACTGAAGAAGGAAGAGCTGAAGGAGTTCCAGCTTCGGCTGCACAATGAAGAACCTTTCCGGGGCTTTTCCGGTGCGATGGCAGTTCCACCAGAGAAGATGAGTGGCATGGAGGTGGCCTCATGTCTAGTGGCTCGGTATGGGGAGCAGCGAGCCTGGGACCTTGCCCACCACACCTGGAGGCAGATGGGCCTGAGCTTGCCCTGTGCCCAGGCCCCCAAAGAAGAGGCCTTGTTGTTAGGTGAGAGGATAAAGGGCCCCTCTGTCTGCTGTAGTCTCCTGGCCCCAGCTACTCCCCCCGGGGTCCCCAACACCACCACTGAATCCACACTGCCATATGAAGCTCTGGGCAGTGACTTGGGACCACCCTGTCTAAGGGGGAATCCAGGCCCCAGACTAGGCTGGAGCTGGGGCACCGTTGCTGGGCCCCAGAGCCCCACCCCTTCTTCTGTTCATGTGCATTCCCAGGCTCCCTTGTGGTCCTCACAGTGCCTGGGAGGGGGATGATGGGAAAGGTGGGTGTGGGCTTCGGGCCCTGCTCCCAGGGGAGAGGACTTGCCTGGCATTGTAGTTACAGGCACAGACTTGGGAATCAGGCAGAGGCAGGTTCCAGCCCTGGCACTACCACCCTGAGCAAATCACTTTATTGCTCTCTGCCTCTATTTCTCCAACTACAAAGTGGCAGAGTAAGAGCCCACCTTCTTGGGCTGTGTGAGGGTTAAAAGAGCTAACCCCTGTTAAACATTCAGCATAGAGTCTGATATGTAGAAAGTGCTCAGTAATTGAGAGCTCTTGTTGCTATTGTTGCTGCTGTTGTCATTAGTACTATTAGCATCCCTGGGATGCAGAGGCTCTTAGTCCCACATGGGAAAAGAGTAGTGACTTACACAGGGAGTAGACTTAGAATCAGGACAGATATGCAAATTTCCTGGATCCCAGACCAGTATCTTTAGCCCAGCAGTGTCTATCAGAGCATCGCTCTTCAGAGGAGCCCATGGAGGAGACTGCAAAGGGCAGCAGTGGGTTCACTCATTTCTCCTGATCTCTCTTGGTTGAGACAGAAGACCTGCTTAATACAAAGAACCCTGGCCGCAGTCTCCTGTCTCCTGCCCCTACCCCTCTGACACATCCCCAACCTTTCTGTCTCCTTCCTGCAGATGACTTCCCCCCATTCCTCTCCTTCTCAAGTACACCCAACCTGGAGTCCCCCAGCCAGCCCACCTCCACCGCTGTGCTAAGGTTCTGTGGCTCTGAGTCCCCGGGGCATCCCCAAGTCTCAGAAAGGAAAAAGATTTTAAGATGGCTTCCTGACACATCTGGACACCCATTCGGAGGTAAGGCTTGCTGAGTGGGGCTGAGAGCCTGGGCTAGGGCTGTGAGTCAACCACTGGGTCTCCACATGTGTGACTGTGTACCTGCATGAGGACCTGGAATGGGGGACAAGCAGAAGAAACATGGAGGATCCAGGATGGGGTGGTGAGAGCAGAAGGCCTCAAAATATCTTTCAGGGACTTTCCAGTGCTGAAATTATATCCCTCCCCATTTGACCGATGGGGAAACTGAGACCCATGTAGGTCAGGTAGTGGGTCTCACCCAAGTGGGTACCATGTGTGACATGGTCCTTGCCTCAGCAGAGTTCAGCTTCCAATCTTGGTGGGCTCTGAAGACCCTTGGGGTGAGGGTGGTCCAGATGTTCAAGAGGATTGTGTTCTCCAGATGGGCCCCAAGAGGGGGACAGGCTCATTTCTCAGTCCAACCCAGTTTCCTCACCAGACTTCTCTTATTTTGTTCTCTGCCACCCTGAATCACCCAGACTGCAAACCTCAGCTACACCCTTGTCCTCTTCCTCTTCTCGTGACAGCATCAAAGTGGTCACCTCTTCCCAAAGCAGAAGGGCCAGAGAATGCAGCTCATTTGTCCAATCTCCCACAGCATTTAGTAGCAGAATAAGGGCTAGAACCTAGAACAATCCATTCTTGGTGCAGTGATTTTCTCCTTACCCTGCTGCTGCTTTGTGACAGTCCTACCCTTTTTCTTTCCCTTCCTTCTATGCCCATTCTCACCCCTCCACCCCCATGCCCTGGCAATTGTGGTCACAGGCTCAGACTCCTCTGCCCTCAATTTTCACCCTAACTTCACCAGCTTGCTGTGTGACATGGAACAATTCGCTCCACCCCTGTGTCTCATTTTCCTCCTCTGAGCCTTCATATTACTCAGTTTTCACTCCTCATGCCACCTCTCGCTCTACAGTACAGAATTTACATCTCCTTGAGTACTGCACAAGAAATCCACTTGTAGAGAAGTCCAAGTGCTTGATGTAAATTCTACTGAAGATGTTGTAGGAGACGAGGGTTAAGCTACTCACATCTCTCCCCACAGAGGGGCCCCCTTATGCCCCCACCAGCATTCTTCTCTCTTCCCCCATGTAGTAACCCGTGTTACTGGCTCTTCCCTGTTCTATGCTCTGCCCTCAACTTTCATAGCTCAAATTTCAGTGCCTAGCAAAGCAACACCTGGCAGTAAAGACAAACCACCCTCCCTAGAATGCCACTTAGTAACTATTTATTATTATTTGAAATGGGGAGCTCAACTCTTAAAGTGGCTTAGAAAGGTCCTTCTACTTCAAGCTGAGTGTGGTGGCTCATGCCTGTAGTCTGAGCTACTTCAGAGGCTAAAGCGGAAGGAACACTTGCGTCCAGGAATTTGACCCTGCAGTGAGCTATGATGATGCCACTGTACTCTAGCTCAGGAAAGACAGAGATACCTTATCTCCAGGGGCAAAAAAACCCATCTCTTTCTACCTAATACATACTGTTCACCCTGTACTCCCACCAAGAAGTTTCAGACCAGCTACTAAGAGAATAAAATTATCTCTCTACATTTACATGGTTTTAAAAATAGTATTACTAACACCCATCTCACAGGATTGTTGTGAGCATTCCAACCATATGCACCTAAAATAAAATAGATATTCAGTAAATTGTCATTTCTTTCCTGTCATTCCCCCTCCAGAACACCTTTCCTCACTCCTCTACCAAGCTCTTCCAAGCTCCCCAGACCATGAGTCTCCAAGCCAGGGGTCACCCAATGCCCCCACATCCACAGCGGTGCTCAGGGGCTGGCAATCCCTACCTCAGCCCAGCCTAGGACCCAGAAAGCAGGAGGCTCCAGGAACTGAGTGGCCTCTGGCTGAAACATCTGGAAACTTCCACACAGGTAAGACCCTGCTGAGCTCCTGGAGAGGGGTGGGTAAGGCAGAGGCATGGACAAAGAGTTCCTTGGGGGTGCAAGTTGGCATGCTGAACACAGAAGATCTCGAAAACATCTGAAATGTCTCTCCAGAAATCCTACTATTGGAGTCTCTCCATTGGACCAAGGTACTGTTTCCAGGAAGCCTCTGAACATTAAAGTGTAGGTGCATTTTCCAACACAGGAAACACATCACTTAGTTTAGTGGACAGGCACTGGCCTGGGGTCAGGAGAGCTAGATTTCATTTCCACTGAGCTTCTCACCCACTGGGCAGCCTAGAGCAAATCGCATGCTGTGTCTGCTAGACATTCTCTATGTTAGGCCCTGGGCCTGCTGCTACACTTGCACTTGAGTTTTACAACCAGCCCATGAGACAGATATTGTTATTATTCAACCCTGGAAATGAGAAAACTGAGGCTCAAAAAGGGAAAGTCTCGTAGTTAATAGTGTGGAGATGCCTTCACTCTCTCTGACACCACAATCCACACTTTTAACTCATATATCCTGCTCCCTCTGCCACAGGTACACAGGCCCCTGATGCCATGGTCTTAACCACTGAACTGTACTGCCTTTCAATACTAGGAGTTGTCCCCTTTGAAATCTGAGAGTTGTTATGTTTAAAGGATTTCTTCTGCACCTAGCTAGGAGTAAAGTTGTAGAATTCGTGGGCCTAATATATGGCTTGGGCTCAAAGTGTATCAATCAACTTATTTAGTCACACCATTTCCCATTCAAAGAAAGAAAAGAAGGAAGAAAGGAAGGAAAAAAGGAAAGATTAGAGACATCTTACAGAAACATACAAATGTAATAACCTTACTATAACAGAATGCAATAACCTTAAAGTGAAAAAAGCAAGTAAGAAAGCCACGAGGACTAATCAGTTGCTATAACTTAAGTTTCCACTGGTTGTGAGCATCGCAGAAACCAGGACAAAAGGGGAAATATAATGGGTTACATAATACCTATTGCTCAATAGAAGAAAAAAGACCAATTCAAGAGAAATACATTTTTCCCTTAGAAAAATTCTAAGCGAAATTTTCAAGTGAAGAACTTGAACAAAATTACATACATAATATCAGTTTCATACCAAGTACAGAAACCATGTCATATGATTTTTGATATGTCAAGAACAAAGGTAGGAAAGTGTGTTTGTGTGAAAGACAACATAGTAAATGTATTAGGCTTTGGTTTCTCTGTCACAACTACTCAACTCTGCCCTCATAACCCCAAAGCAGCTATAGTTAGTATATAAACCAATGGGCATGATGTCTGTGTTCCAATGAAATTGTACTTACGATGCTAAATTTTGAATTTTACATAATTTTCATGTCATGAAATATTATACTTCTTTTGATTTTTTTCAACCATCTAACAATTCTTAGCTTGCAAGTAGTACTAAAACAGGTGGCTGGCTATGGTTGGCAAACTCCAGCCAAATCCAGCCAATCACCTGTCTTTGTAGATTTGGTTAGAGTTTGTCAATACATGATCAAAAGCATGATATTAAAATGAAACTCATTAGTGGTATCAGGTGTAAGGGTAGGATTTTTAAAGTATGACTTGATATAATAGGATTTAGATATGTGGCATGGTAATAGAGCCATGAAAACCAGGAGGTTTTCGAGACTGTGGCATTAAGAAGAGCCAAGCCCTCCAGTGGCACCTCAGCCAAACACAGTCTGAGCAGGGCAGACTATGGCCATGACCCCACATGGCCATCCTGAGGCTCGTAGAACATTTTCACATTGCCAGAAATGTTCCCACAGGAGACAATAAAAGCAGAGCTATAGATTATGAACTCAGAGGTGGGGTGGCCCTCTGAACATCCCAGTCTCAGCAGCACTAAAGGCATGAACTGACCCCACACTCTCCACTCTCCCCAGATTTTCCTCAGCATGCCTGCAAAGGTAGGACAGGTAACCTTGAACTATGGAGGCCCAGTAAGTTTCCCAGGGTGAACAGGGCTTCAGCACCCCAGATGAGTCACTTGTATCATCTCTAAAATTCCACTAAGGAAAAAAGTGAGAGGCACTTGAGATATTGGGAAGGAAAAGTAAAGAAGGGGTTGTAGCAATTGTTCTATTTGGAATCTATGATGGGAGCCTGAGGTCCCTCCCTAAGGGAAAGACCCATCTGTGAACTCAGCTCCTCACAGTTCACAAGGCATCTTCCCTTGTGTCTCAGGTTAGGCTCCCTCTGAAACAGACCCTGAGGCAAGATTTGCTTGCAGATAATTCACTGGGGAGGAGAAATGAGAGAAGGGGGGAGAAAGGTGCACTGTGAAGCAGTTTACCCCTGTGAGCAAGTGAGGTTCATGATGCCAGAGATGTCTGGGAGACAGTGAGAACATATCTTGGGTTGTCAGTGTTGGGGACAAGGGACCCTCATCCATTGTCCACTGAGGACTCTTCCTGGAGTCTTAACTCCCCAGTGTTTCTGGCCCACCCCACTTGTGGCCCTCAGATAGATAACCACAGGTGTTGCAGATGGACACTGTCGGCACGTACTGCAATGATGGGTGCTAAGGGGATGCTGTCAGGACCCAACAGCATCTGCAACACAGTCATTATCTCCTTCACCCCTGAATGACCTCCTCCAGGGATATCTCACAGTCTCAATTTACAGATGAGAAAACTGACGTTCCATGGAGCTAATGACCCAAGTCATGGCCTTAATGGGGACAGAGACTTGTGCATGTTTTGTTCACTCTTTATCACCAGCCACTAGAACAGCACCTGCCACATAATAAGCCCTTGATAAATATTTGATGAAGGAAAGTCAAACAAGGAGAATGATTTGATTCAGGCAACACTTGAACTGGGATCTTCCACCCCAAAGTCCATGTCCCTTATGCTGCATGGCAAGAACACACTAATGTCTACAGCCAGTGCAGTGTGGCTTGGAGTAGGTACCTAAAAAGTTGGTGAATGAATGAATGAATGAATGAACAAGTCTATTCTATACCTTTATGTTCCATCCTACCCTCTCTTAGGAATGAGAGAAAGATACCAAAGCCAGAGGAGAGAGAACTCTTGTTCAACACTGTCCTGGAAAAGTGAGGTATTACACAAAAAATTCACACAGCTGATACTTCTAAAAACACCTCACCCCAGAATTCATGAGTCCCTGGACAGGAGGAGCTGGCATCATGACATGGTGGAGAATCAAGGACGTTTGATTAAGATGGGAGACTTATTTGGCCCAAGCCTGGGAACCCAAGAAGAACCCCGCATAGTCATATTGCACGGTGGTGCTGGAATTGGGAAGTCAACACTGGCCAGGCAAGTAAAGAGGGCCTGGGAGGAAGGCCAGCTGTACAGAGACTGCTTCCACCACATCTTCTACTTCAGCTGCAGGGAGCTGGCCCAGGCCAAAGTGCTGAGTCTCGCTGAGCTCATCACAAAAGGCTCGGAGGCCTCTCTGGCTCCCCTTGGAGAGATCCTGTCTTGTCCAGAGCGGCTGCTTTTCATCCTCGATGGTGTGGATGAGCCAAGATGGGTCTTAGAGGAGCAGAGTGTTGAGTTCTGTCTGCACTGGAGCCAGCAGCAGCCGGTGCACGCGCTGCTTGGCAGTTTGCTGGGGAAAACCGTACTTCCCGAGGCTTCCTTGCTGATCACCACTCGGACCACAGCTCTGCAGAAGCTCATTCCTTCTCTGGAGCAGCCCCGGTGGGTGGAGGTCCTGGGGTTCTCTGATTCCGGCAGGAAGGAATATTTCTTCAACTATTTCACAGATGAAAGCCAAGCAATTAGAGCCTTTGGCTTGGTTGAGTCAAACCGAGCAGTCTGGACCCTGTGTCTCGTGCCTTTTGTGTCCTGGCTGGTCTGCTCTTGCCTGAAGCAGCAGATGGAGTGGGGGGAAGAACTCACACTCACCTCCCAGACGGCCACAGGCCTCTGTCTGCGCCACCTCTCCCAGGCTCTCCTAGGTCAGCCCCTGGGGCCCCAGCTGAGGGGCGTCTGCCTCCTGGCTGCTGAGGGCGTCTGGCAAGGAAAGAGCCTTTTCAGCCAAGATGATCTCAGGAAGCACGAGTTAGATGAGGCCATCATCTCCACTTCCTTGAAGATGGGTGTTCTTCAAAAGCACTACACCTCTCCAAGCTACAGCTTCACCCACCTGTGCTTCCAGGAGTTCTTTGCAGCAATGTCCTGTGCCTTGGGGGATACGGAGGAGAGAGGTGAACATCCTAACCTCATTAGAGTTGTGGAAAGGTTACAAGAAGCATACCAAAGCCATGACGTGTTTGGGGCACCAACCACGCGTTTCCTATTCGGCCTTCTAACTGAGCAGGCACGGAGAGAGATGGAGAACATCTTCAACCGCCAGCCAAGCCTGGACAGGAGGCGGGAGCTGCTGCAGTGGGCCGAGGAGGAGTCCCAGGGCCAGGAGGCCCCGCTGCCAAGCTCTCTGGAGGTGCTCCACTGTTTGTACGAGACTCAGGATGAGGAGTTCCTGACACAGGTGATGGCCCATTTCCAGGGAACAAGCGTGTGTGTCCACACGGACATGGAGCTCCTGGTGTTCACTTTCTGCATTAAATTCTGCCACCACGTGAAGAGGCTTCAACTGAATGCGGGTGGACAGCACAGACCCACATGGAGGCCCCCCGGGGTAGTCCTGTGAGTACCCACCCCCTCCTCTCTCCAGCCCCTCTATCCATCCCATGGGCCCGAATGTCCTGAGCACCGAGGGCACTGACACTGGGCCTGGTCACCAGTGACTCCTAACTGCAGGGTGTGACCACTGTTTTCTGTCCATGGTGGGACAAGTCCTGCTTGTTTCCAGAGAGGCCTGGTGGGGCCCCACCTTGAGCTGCAGCCCTTCTCCTACCCCTAGGACAGCCACCTGCCTTCTCTCTGGACACACTCCCCCTTCACACTGACCTTAGCTGTCCCCACACTCCCCAAGGATCCCACAGCCCACCTGGCCCTGCTCCGCTCTCCACATGCTCTCGCTCTGAGAAATGGTTCACTTGGCTGCTGCAGGAACCCCCTCAATGACATGAACATTGGCCCTGAGATCTTCCCCCACCACCTCAGACTGCATGTCTGAAAAGAAGTCCCCTATTTGTCCCTGCAAATCTGACATTTTTGTCCGCGGTGCCACAATAGCCTCAGGCAGTCAATCTGAAACCCATTCTGTGAGCATCTGACAGCATCTTCCGCTAATCATCCCCCAGCCCAGCAATGCTGAGAACTTCCTCATCCGGGTTCCCCTGCCTCTGCTACGGTATTGACCATAGTATTGGTATGTGTCTATCTCCCCCTTTAGATTGCTCATTCCATAAATATTTATTGAGCACTAATTTTATGCCAGGCCCTACACATCACATATTAAAATGCACAATCCCTGCCTTAAGGAGCTCAAAACCTGGGGGAGAAGACAGACATTCACCCACTAATGATAATGGATTGTAATGCATTATTATAGCTATGAATACATTACTATACATATACTATGGTGGCTGATGGAAGGGAGTGACCATTTTCCTAAGGGACCAGGAAAGAAAAAATTCTCAGAGGAAGAAATGTTTGATTTGGGTTTTTTATTTTAAGATTTTTAGACTTTTTGTTACAATTAAGCTTGTGTTCATTGTAGAAAATAAGGACAGATCAGTAAGCAAAAAGATGAAAATTAATATCAACCAGAATTCCATCAAAGATGACTATCATTAAGAACTGATGGTCACCTTTCTAAGAAGACTATCCTTTTTTTCTATGCACATTTCTGTGGCAAAATTGAACCACACCATACATTTTACTTCATGTCACCTTTATTTTCTTGATGTATCAAATTTACCTTCCTGCATTAAGTAGTCTGATGCAACACCCTTTTGAATGGCCACATGGTACTCGACAGGAAAGTGCCATTCTTGATTTGGCCATCCAGTATTCTTGCCCATTTTAGGTTCTTTCTAATTGTTCATGGTTATAAATGTGAAGTAGGGCTGGGCACAGTGGCTCACACCTATAATCCAGCACTCTAGGAGGCCAAGGCAGGAGAATCACTTAAGGACAGGAGTTTGAGACCAGCCTAAGTGAGACCCCATCTCTACAAAATAATAGAAAAATTAGCTGGGCATGGTGGTGCACACCTGTAGTTCCAGCTACTTGCCCCTGAGGTAGGAGGATCCTTTGAGCCCAGAGTTTTGTGGTTACAGTAAGCTATGAAGACACCACTGCACTCTAGCTAGGGCGACAGAGCCACGTCTTAAACATGAATAAAATGAAAAAATAAAATAATATAAAATAAATAAAATAATATACATGAAGTAGGACATGAAGAACCTGGTTACAGGTGTTGCAAGTGGTAATGGCCTGATGTGGGGCATGCGAAACCAGGAACACCAGGCCAGACCAAGAGAGCTTGGGACAGACAGTGGCAAGTAGAGCCTGAAGCCGCAAGTGAGAAGGGGAATTTTCAAGGCACAGAGTCAGCTAGGCAAGACAGAGAGAACAGTAAGGGGCTCCTGGACACAAACAGTCCAGGAAGAAATAAGGAAGACTGGCTGAAGGTGGTGGGAAGGGAGATCAGGACAAGGAGAGACATGAAGGGAATGAGGATGGCATGGTAGAAGCTCCAGGAACTTGGCTTGGAATGAAGCATCATGCATTTTGAATACTTTTTAATTTCTTCTTTCTCTCACTTTTATTAAAGATGGCAAAGGCTGACTGAAAAACATTACAAATGTATTCTTCAAGTTTCACAAAACTAAATAAATGTAAAGGACATTCAAATAGTTGAACTTTTGAATAATGGCTTTTTTGATGTATTTGTAGCATTTATACTTCTGAAGTTGTTGAAACGTACAACTTTTGGGAATCTCTGGGATATCTTTTAATCCTCACAAATCCCTCTGTAGCAGTACTGTAGTTGTTCTCTTTTTCCCCCGGAGGAGACTGAGTGAGGCATAGGGGAGTGGAGATGAAGTGCAGGTGGCTGGCTCCCCGGCCTCTGCTCCTCACCTCCACACAGCTCTGCAGACTTACTGGGAAGATGAATTAAGGTTGGGGGCATATTGGGATGTATTAGGTTAAAAACTTGGTGGAGCGATCTGGCCAGAAAATAGAAATATCTGCCTACAGCCATACCACCCTGAAAGCACCTGATCTCATCTATCTTGGAAGTTAAGCAAAGTTGGGCCTGGTTAGTACTTGGATGGGAGAAAATAGAAATATTAGTCTGAAACTTGGAATAGCATTTAAGAAGGTGAAGCCCTGGGAAGTAGATGAGGTCACTAAAGCAGTGTGTGAAAATGGAGAAATTAAATGGGTGGAAATTATACAAGGCAGAGTGTATTCTAACACTCGCAGACCAAGTCCATCATGCTCTCCCCACCAGGCTGTAAATATTCTCCCCTAGGATGTTCCCTTAGCCACCCCTCTCCTGCAGACCCTCTCTATGGTCTTGCTATCTGTGGAAGGGGACAGGGTCCCTTGCAAGCCAACCTAGACAGCAGTATATATGATCACACACAACCTTGCATCATAAAGTCACCCTCAGATCACCTATCCCAGCCTCTGTGCCCACCTCCCATCTCCTCCTCTCCTTTCTGGGCACTGGGCATACAGAACGTCTGTGCCAAAGAAAAACAGGCGTGTCTGCATCAAAGAGAGGAAGGCTGTCCAGATCACCAAGATCCTGCTCTGTGCCAGGCCCCATGTTGTGCACTGCAGATAAAAAGGATGACAAGTATCTGCCCCTGCATTCAAGAAACTGCCAAACTAAGGTGGAAACAGACACACAAAATGAACGCTTCAGCATGGTATGGTAAGGGCTGTGGAATGAGGAGCCACACAGAGCAGTAGCTCCCAGCCCAGGGTGGCAGGGGCAGAAGGCCTGGCGGGGAGCCTGGCCAGTCCCAGGGATGGCACTGCCCACTGTGGCCTGGTGCTCAGGAGGACAGAACCCCCACTGTGTAGTGCAGGGCTGTGCACATCAGACCCCCACACACACAGATCACATCTCTCCCGTCCCTCTCTCCCTCCCTCAGCTTCACATGGGCCCCGGTCACAGATGCCAGTTGGCTGGTTTTCTTCTCCGTTCTTGAGGTCTCCGGAAGCCTGAAGGAGCTGAACCTAAGTGGAAACTCGGTGAGCCGCTTGGCAGTGCGCAGTCTTTGTGAGACCCTGAGTCATCCTCGCTGTCACCTGGAGACCCTGTGGTGAGTCTGGCCTGAGTTCTGCTCTGAAGTAAAGATGGGCAGAAGATCCAAGGCAGAAGCTGAGTCTAGGATGAGGGATTGGTCTTTGTATTCATCAAATATTCGTTTCACCCCTCTCTGCCTATGCACTGTGCCAGGTGCCAGGGCTACTGTGGTAAACAACCAGGGATAGGATTTTTTTTCTCACAGAGTTTGCAAGAGACTAGCATTAATCACAGAACCATACTAATAAATGTATAATAAGTTTATAATAACAAGGAACTAACTAACAAATTTATAATATCAGTTTATTCCACTGGAACCCAAATAAGGACTCCAATGGGAAAAATGTCATTGAGGAAGTGAAGCTTGAAAGAGATCTGAAGAATACAGAGTATTTAACTAAGAACAACAGGAGGGAGAAAGTTTTAGGCAGAGGGAATGGCAGGTGCAAATGTACCAAGGCCCTGTGGCATGAGGGAGGATGAGGCAGCCCAGGAAGGGAAGCAGGCCTGTGTGTCTGGAGGGCAGAGAGCAAAGGGTAAGATGAGGCTATAGAGATCAGCAGGAACCAGACCAGGCAAGGCCAGTGGACCATGTTGGGATTAGAGGTCTTTTTCCTGATGCAGTAGAATTTTAGGCAGAAAGTTGGCAAGATCAGTACATTTTGAACATAGAAACAGGCTGCTATGCAAAATATGTATGGGAAGGGTACAAAGGTAGAAGTTAGAAAACCAGTTAGTAGGAAAATTGCAGTAATTTCTGTAAATATGGTGATATCTTAGACTAACGAAAATGACTGTAGTTTCAGTAAGAGGCAGTAATCACTTAGTATGTGGTACTGGCCATCAAGAAGGAAAGAAGTACTGGATTCAAAAGATGTATAAAAGTAAAATAACTGGGCTCAGTAAGGGATTGGATTTAGGGAGAACGGGAGAAGGAGGTATCAAAGACAATCTCAGGTTTCTGGCCAGAGCAAGTCCTGGGCTAGTGGCACCTTCACTGAGATGGGAAATACTGAAAGAGGTGTGGTTGGAGGGGTGGGATATCATGAGTATGATCTTGTGCTTGTTGGTTTCAAGTTCCTTTGGGGTATCCAAATGAACATGCCAAGCAGGCATCAAATAAAGCTCTATGCAAAGATAAGGCTGCCCCCCAAAACAGATCTCAATAAAGTTGAAAAAATTAAAATTATACAAAGGGATCTAATTTTATTTCTCTGATCATGATGAAATAAAATTAGAAATCAACAACAGAAGAAAATCTGGGAAATTCAGAAAGACACTGAAATTAAACAACAAACTCTAAAATAACCAATGGGTCAAAGAAGAAAACACAAAGGAAATGAGAAAATACTTTGAGATGAATAAAAACAAAACACAACATACCAAAATGTATTGGATGCAGCTAAAGCAATGATGAAGGTAAAATTTATAGCTATAAATGACTATGTTAAAAAAGAAGGTAGAATACCACTACACACCTATTCGAATGGCCAAAATCCAAAACACCGACAACACCAAATGTTGGTTAGGATGTGGAGCAACAGGAACTCTCATTCATTGCTGGTGGGAATGCAAAATAGTATAGCCTCTTTGGAAGATGGTTTGGCAGTTTTTCATAAACCTAAACATATTTTTACCATATGACCCAGCAGTTACACCAGTTGGTATTTACCCAAGTGAGCTGGAAACCTATGTTCATACAAAAACTTGCACACAGATGTTTACAACAGCTTTATTCATAATTGCCAAAACTTGGAAGCAACCAAGATGTCCTTCAGTAGGTGAATGGATAAATAAACTGTTGTATACCCAGACAGTGGATTAGTAAGTGCTAAAAAGAAGAAGCTATTTTTTTTTTTTTTTTTTTGAGACAGAGTCTAGCTTTGTTGCCCAGGCTAGAGTGAGTGCCTGTGGCATCAGCCTAGCTCACAGCAACCTCAAACTCCTGGGCTCAAGCAATCCTCTGCCTCAGCCTCCCGAGTAGCTGGGACTACAGGTATGCGCCACCATGCCTGGCTAATTTTATTTTTGTATATATATTAGTTGGCCAATTAATTTCTTTCTATTTATAGTAGAGACGGGCATCTCACTCTTGCTCAGGCTGGTTTCGAACTCCTGACCTCGAGCAATCCGCCCGCCTCGGCCTCCCAGAGTGCTAGGATTACAGTCGTGAGCCACCGGCGCCTGGCCAAGAAGTAAGCTATTAAGCCATAAAAGATATGGACCTTAAATGCTAAGTGGTAAGGCTCTCTCAGCCTCCCCAGTAGCTGAGACTACAGACACCCACCACCACGCCCAGCTAATGTTTTCTATTTTTAGTTGCCTGGCTAATTTTGCTTTTCCTTTTTTTTTAATAGAGAAAGAGTCTCACTTTTGCTCAGGCTGGTCTCCTGAGCTCAATCCATCCTCCCATCTAGGCCTCTAAGAGTAATAGGATTACAGGCATTACCAAACATTTAAAGAAGAATTAAAACTTATCTTCTCAAACTCTTCCAAAACTAGAAGATAAAGGAACACCTGCCAACTCATTCTATGAAACTAGTATTACCTGGATACCAAAATCAGACAAAGACAACCAAGGACACCACAAGAGGAAACAAACCTATAGGCCAATATCCCTTATGAATACATATGCAAAAATCATCAACAAAATACTAGCAACATATAAAAGGGATTCTATACCATGACCAAGTGGTATTTATCTCAGGAATGTAAAGCTTTTTTAACCTAGGAAAAGTAATCAATTCAATGCACTGTGTTAATAGAATAAAGAACAAAAACCACATGACTATCTCAAAAGACACAGAAAAGCACTAAACAAAACCCAATAGCTTCTCACATTGAAAACATTCAGAAAACTAGGAATAAAATGGAATTTTATCAACCTGATAAAGGTCACCTATGAAAAACCTACAACTAATATCATATTTTATGGCGAATAACTGAATGCCTTCCCTCTAAGATGAGGAATAAGACAAAGATGTCTGCTCCTGTCACTTCTATTCAACATGGTACTAAAGATTCCATCCAGAGTAATTAGGCAAAAAGTAAAATTTCAGTCTTTCAGATTAGGTGAAAAAAAAGAAATTAAACTATATCTATTTACAGATGACATGATGTTGTTTATTTTTTAAAAATCCTAAGGAATCCACAAACATTAACTATTAGAACTAGCAAATGAATTCAGCAAGATTTTAGAAAACAAGATCAATATGCAAAATTTAATCATACTTCTATACACTAGCAATCAACAACCCAAATATTAAATCAGAAAAACAATTCAACTCACAATGCTATCAAAAAGAATAAAATACTCAGGAATAAAATTTAACAAAAGAAGAGCAAGGATTGTACACTGAAAACTACAAAACGCAGTTGAAAGAAGTTAAATAAGACAAATGGAAAGATACCTCATGTTCATGGATTGGAAGGCTTAATGTTGTTAAAATGACAAGGTCCCCAAATTGATCTAGAGATTCAATGTAATCCCTACCAAAAATCCCAGCTACATTTTGTGCACAAATGAAGAAGCTGATCCTAAAAGTCACATGCAAAGAGAAGACTGCATTAAAGCCCTGGGGAATCCCACTCCAACTTTTTAATGACCAAAGATGAGCCAACAAAGAAGCCTGATAATGAGTAGCCAGGTAGGTGTAAAGGTGACAAGGACACCAGGAAAGTTCCATATCATGGAACTGAACAGAGCCAAGAGTAATGGATCAGCAGAGGGCACTCCTGCTGGGAGGTCAAATAAGATAAGAACTGTAATCTGTCCATTGGTTTAGTGACAGGAGAGTCATGCATGGCCTTAGCAGAGCCAGCTTTTATGGCATGAAAGGGCCAGAATGCAAATTGGAATGGATAGAAGAGGGAGACAGAAGTAAAAAAAAAAAAAAAAAAAATTAGACTGTAAATACAAACACTTCTTTCAAAGACTTTGGTAGTGAAGAGGAGAAGTGCACTAAAGCAGAGGGGTATGTTGGGCCAACTAAATTAGTGTGTGTCTGTCTACTTACTTGCATTTAAGAAGGAAAAGACCTGAGTTTGGGTATCAGTGGAGGACGGGTGATGAAAAATCTAAGAAGGAGAAGGAGTCAGGGATGGCTCTCTGTACTCAGAAAGAAGAGGAAGGAGAAAGACTGGCCTTGAAGGAAAGAGAAAGTATCTCCTCTACTGTAACAAGAGGGGAGATGAGGACGGGGAAGACAGAGGTAGGCACAAGGTTTGACTGTAGGAGCTGAGGGGTTCCCATATGATGACTTCATTTTTCCTTGTGAAATAGAAATTGAGTTGTCTGCTGTGAGTAAGGGTGAGGGTTGAGGAGATGGAGGTTTGGGGACAGTAAAGTCTTCAAATGGCCATTGCAGGGCAGGAGACCTCTGCCAGCCAGGCATTGTTGAGGCCCATGCAAGGGGTGTGGGGAGTGGTTCATGATGGTGACCACCAGCACAGGTGGGAGTTGCGTGGGGGATGGGAATCTGGCAGAGTTTGGGGTTAGACAGAAGAATGTGATGGAAGGTCGGATATTGGCAATGAGGGATCATGAAATCTAAGCTAGGTCCCAAGGGAAGTGAAGGAAAGAAAGTGATGAGAGATTGGGGGAAAGGAGATTGCAAGAAAGGAAAGCAAGCAAGAGATTGTTCTTGGAAAAGGGTCACAGTGGGAGTTGAGCAGACAAAAGGAGGCAAATGCAGCCTTATGCTATCACTTTCTATGTCCACAAGAGACAGCTCTGCACTTTCCCCCCAAATCATTCCAATTAGCACCACCTGAGCCCAGTAGAAAATACTTTTGAATGAAACTCAGGAATCCTGGTCCTCTCTCAAACGTCACACCCCAGTAGGGAGACACCACTCTACAATGTACCCCTTACTTTGGCACAGAACTTCATAATCTCCAAACCAAAACACCCTCACATCCATCATCTTCTTGGGCCTTCCAAATAAGAACCTATGAAAATTGGACAACAGGGACAATTATTCCCATTTTCCACATTAGTAACTCAGGTTCAGGGAAGTTAACTGACTTGCCAAATTCACACAGCTGGCAATGGGAGAGCAAAAACACAAACCCACTGAGAGTACAACCCAGCACCAACACTTTCTCTCTGTCAGGTAAGCAGGATCTGATTAATACCAGCTCACTGCGATAGTGTCATAAAAAGAAAGCTGGGTCAGCCCCAGTGCACTAGGTGAGGCTAAGGCGGGAGGATCGCTTTAGCTCAGAAATCCAAGACCAGCCTGAGCAAGAGCAACATCCAGTCTTTACTAAAAATAGAAAAATTAGCCAGGCCTCGTTGCATGTGCCAGCTACTCCAGAGACTGAGGCAGGAGGATCCTTTAAGCCCAGGAGTTTGAGGCTGAAGTGAGCTATGATGACACTGTTGTACTCTAGCCTGGGTGACAGTGATACTCTGTCTCAAAAATAAATAAATAAATAAATAAATAAATAAATAAATAAATAAATAAATAAATAAATAAATAAATAAATAAAAGAAAAACGTGGTCCAAGATTACCAACCATGGATCAGGAAAGTGTATTTCCCACACTAAAAAAGCTGGCTCTAAATGAGGAGCACACAGCTTTCCTGCCTTTGGATGCCAGACTACGGATGACTCTCTAGCAAAGTCCTAACGAATAACTGGATTTCTCTCTCTTTCTTTTTAAATATATCACTGGAAGTTTATATCCTATGACCTAACATCTCTCCATTTCCTCCCTGTCCTCATCCCAGTATCCACCATTTTACTCTCTATATATTTTATTTTTTGCCTTCTTCCCCAAAAATAAGACCTACCAATAAAATAAGGCCTAGCAGGATTTCTAAGCATTTGCACTACATAAGCCCATCCCGAAACTAAGACGTAGTGATGGGCATGGCTATGCAGCATATCTGCACAACCCATGCATTTTGTTGCAGAGCTGTAAAGAAGACAGCAGCCCTTCTCATCTGCCTCATCCTGATAGCTACTATCCCAGAGGTGACTGGAAAGGCGTGGGCAGCCCCAACAAGGTTGGCTACCCATCAGGTCCCGGCCATTCTGTGTGTGCTGCAAGCTGAGACTATGAGAGGAAAGTCTCTTCAGTGAAGTGAGGAGCAGGACACTTGGCTTTAGGTATTGTGTGTCCCCAGGGGGAAGAAGGAAAGCTGTGGCTGCCATTTTACTCAGCACTGTGGGCCTCTCTCACCCCCCGCAAACACCAGGGGATAGGGGAAGAGCTTCAGCAAGCAGTCTCCTACTGAGCCCAGAGAGATCATTTTTGCTCCACTGTGCAGACTGAAGCCAGTGCTCACTGGATCTCTGATAAATAAGCTAGCCCTGCTCATTTAATGACAGCTCTATTGCTCGACATGAGAGATTGGGGCCAATGGTCCTAAAGGAAATACAGTCGCAAGAAATTCAGGATGGAATTCGGGGTTTGGAGAGTTATGATGATGTTCCAGAGGACGGCAACTTAACTATATTTGAATAAATGTAGATTGTTGTACCATACTTAAAAAAAATAACACATCCCCTGAAAATAAGCCTTAGAGTATCTTCTTGAGGAAAAATAAATATAAGACCCTATCTTATTTTCGGGGAAACATGGTAGTTTCCACATACAAGTGAGATCATGTACTGTTTTTCTCACTATGTCTGGCTTATTTCACTTTTGGATATCTTGGAAGCACCTTGTGCAATGGGCACAGCAAATCTATGCTATTGATTAGTAAACTGAAACTTGATGAAGAAACCTGCCCATAGTCTTTAACTTGTAACTGACAGGGGTGAGATTTGAACCCATCTGTGTCTGGCTCCAGAGCCTCTGCCTTTCACCAGCCCACTCTACCCACCAGAGTCAGGTGGCCTCAGGCTCCTGACTAAGGTCCAAGGACTCCCTGATGGGTAGGACAGTCAAAGTAGGTCTTGTGAAAGCAGGGAAAGACAGGGATTTTAGACTGTCAGGGCTCTTTGATGTCAAACCAGGCCTCCTCCCTCCACACACATAGCCCCTGTCACAACCACACCCAATGTCCCCTCCTATGATGCCTGATAAGCCTCCATCTGCAGGCCAGACCCAAACCAAATGTCTTCCTCTGGGAGGTCCCAGAGCCTCCTCAAACTCAGCATGTTCTAAACTAGGCTCTCCCTCAATTAAAGAAAACCTACTCCTCCTCTCAGAACCAACTACATCAATTTCAGGATGTAGCACAAGACGAAAATGAATTGCCCTTCCTCAAAACTCAGGAGAAAAGTGCCATGAAATGTACTAAGATATAAAGCTTTTGTGTTTCTTCCATGTTTCTCTCCCAACCTACCTGGTGTTTTTTATTTGCTATTTAATATTGCACTCCCTCAGGCAGTGGGACACTAGCAGAGTGTGTACAGACCCTAGCAGGTGTCATGTGCACATGAATGCCAGGTACACCATCCCACTAGGCACCAGACCCATGCCCTGTGCCCCAAAGTGGGTGGAAAATATGCTGTGGATTTGGGGGTGGGGAAGGGGAGATATCTGGCTTGTCTAGCCCAGATCCAGGACAGCTGCCACCATACTGTACCCCAAGATGCCCCAGCCTAACCTCCTCAGCCTGACAGCAGGTGGTGGAGGTCACTGTGCTGAGGAAAAGGTTGAGAGGGGCCCCACAATACCAGGAGGCAGGTGGGTCGCCAAGACTGCTTGGTGCAAAGGGAACAAGGGAAGTAACAGGAGATAACACACAAACCCAAGGCTCCATCGTCCCATCAGACTTCACTCACAAAACACAAATTCAAACACAAAATTAAGAAATTCGAGGTGGTGGCAGCCACAGAGCCTTAAGCCCCTATTGCAGGCCCTTCCCAGTGCACAGCCCTGAGCGACTGTGGGACTGCCTGGTCATCTGCCCTTGAAGCTGATCCTGCCTCTCCCGTCTACTCTCTCCGTGAGTGGCAGCAGCTTCAACTACACATCCAATCTACAGCCTCCCTGGACCCCACCGAGTGCCGTGGGGTCTACAGGAAACATCTCCCACAGCCGCTGCTCTGACCCAGGTGCCCATCCTCCACCTGAACCACCTGCTTCCGGCCTGGCCCCACCAGCGTCCTCCACGGGCCTTCAGGGATCTTTCCAAAGCAGGCCAAAGGTCACATCACTACTGTCCTCCAGAGGAGCCCATCACTGCCACCTGAATAAAGTCCAAACCTCTTACAATTAGGTTCAAGACCTACCACTGTCCTGAGGTTTTCTACTTTCACCCTCAAGCTGCATCCCCACCCCAACTCCACCCCTTGTAGCCTTTACGCCAACACCTCTAAACAGGTGCAGTAATTTTACATCTGCCCAGCCAGCCAGTCTGCCCCTGCCCTCACCCTCCACTTGGGAATTGCTCACTCAAGGCCACACCTCCTCCTCCTGCCTTTGTCAAAACCAACCACACATTCCTCTGCCTCCAGCTGGACTTGACTTGCTTCTCTTTTGAGGCCATTTGATTCATTCCTTCACTAGCAGGGGTGGGGAACCTGTAGCCTTAAGGCCACATATGGCCTTCTAGGTCCTTAAGTGTGCAAATCCAAATTTTACAAAACAAATCCTTTTATTAGAAGGGGTGCAGCACAGGCTCCCCACCCCTGCCTGAGCACTGGGGCTCAGCTAGTGATGAAAACTGGCAAAATTCCTTTGTCACAGAGCTCACTTTCTGGGGATGGGGGAGAGCGAGAAGCCAAATAAATGAGTAAATATATTGTGTATGATACAGACTGTAGAGAAAAGGAAGCAGAAGGATGGAGGAGAGAGTCTGGGGAGGGCAGGGAATTTTAAAATAGAAATGGTGATGAGGCAAGATATCCCCAATGCGACTTCTTTTTGAGCAATGACCTAAAGCAGGTGGGAGAATGAACCATGAGATCACAGGTGAGAAGATTGTTCCAGGCAGAAGAAACAGCCAGTGCAAAGGCCCTGGGGTGGGACAGGAGGCCAATGGGGATAGAGTTAAAAAAGATTAGACATGAGAACAGAAGCAATAAGGATCCCAGTCACCAGGGCAAGGACCTTGAATTTTACTCTGAGTCAGAAAACACTGGAAGGTTTTGATTTTAAAAAGATTTTGATTTTAAAAACTGACTTACTATTATTTGTTTCTGTGTCTATCCCCTAGTAGCCTGTACACTTCTGGAATCCAGGGGGGAGGTTCTTGTTGACCTTCACCTGGCCCATAGGCTTGGCCCACAGTTGGTGATCAATGGTGCTTGTGGGTATTTATGGAATCAAGGGATTAGGAAACTCAAGACCATGGGTGTGTCTCTCCCACAGGTTGGCCAGCTGTGGCCTCACTGCCGAGGATTGCAAGGACCTTGCCTTTGGGCTGAGTGCCAGCCAGACCCTGACCGAGCTGGACCTGAGCTTCAATGTGCTCAGAGATGCAGGAGCCAAGCACCTCTGCCAGGGGCTGAGACAGCTGAGCTGCAAGCTGCAGCGACTTTGGTAATTGTGCCTGGGTTGACGCTGCCTTGTGGGGAGGGCACGGGAGGTGGGGAGACCTGCCTGCCTCTGTGGGGCAGACCAAGAGGAGGGGCACAAAGGTGAGACCTTCTCTGGGGGGAGGAAGGAGCCTGCAGAATGTCAGCCAGGCTGTGGGGGTCAGGAGGAAGCTGGCCCACACCTTGGCTGAGGGAGGTGGCTTCCGGCCTCCAAATGCACCACAATCATTCAAGTCCCAGTGTACACATACTTTCCAAGCCCCTTTTTGAGTCACATTTAGCAATAGGATATTTGCTACTGTCCCACTGGCCAAAGCAAGGCCTATGATGGCCACATTAGGATTCTGGGGGAGTGAAATAAACTCCAGCTCTTGATGGAAGGACACAAACCAGGGGCATGGGCACAAGGTGAGGATGGGGGAGACTGTGTGGCCATGTTCATAGTCTACTACCGAGGGCAATGACAACAGTACCAACTTCACAGACTTGTGAAGATTAATGGGTAAAGTGCTTAGAACAGTGCTTACTGTCGCTCTCCTGTTCTCACCAGCTGTGGTCTGCCTAGTAACGCATCTGTCTGCTTGGCACAGCGCTCATTCTGAGAGCTGAAATCATTGGTGTCCACTTAACTTCAGTCTTCTACGTCATTCAAGAGGGCAGAGCCATGACCTGTATAGAAAAATGTGGATTATTCACCTCTCTGAGGGCTCCCAGGATCCTCTTCCGGGTGTCCCCTGCTCTGATGCACAAAGTGGCACACACGGCCCTCTGCTCACCCCCTCAGAGGGCTGCCATGAGGGTCTCCTTTTGTTTCTGCCTTAGAGACCCTTGTTCACAGCCCTGGTCCTACCTCGTACTTCCCTCACTTTATCCCAAGGCCAAACTTCTCCCCTTCCCGGGGAGGGGCCATTGCCTGTTTCCCCTCAGTAACCCTGAACCAAGAGTGGATGGGATGGGGGACAGAAAAGAGAGGCAGCTGGGACTCCCTACTAATATCAGGGGTCAGTGATCCCTGGAAGGCTAGGAACTTGGGAGTTCCTGTGAGATTCATCCTTGCTACTACCGATGGTAAGATGAGGTCTCAGACAGATTAAATTACTTTCCCAAGGTCACGTAGCCAGGAAGCAGCAGCACCAGGACGTGAAGCCAGGTCTGATGCCTGGTTTCCCACTTTCTCAGGCCTGGCTCTTAGCCAGAACCCTGTGAGGGCTGCGTGACATGTCACCAGCTTGGACTGCAGATAGGGTCCTGAGCTTTCTACTGGGGGCTGAGAAAACCCAGCAGTGGGAGCCAAAGGTTCTAGAAGCATGGCTGAGCCCCCAAGAGCAGAGGACCCTGAGACAGCCTGTCCTCAAAGACAGCCTACGTACACGCAGAGTACATCAGACACACAGCCCTTTCCTTGCATAAATGGTCACACACCACATAGGTACTACAGTAACAGGGTATTAGGCATGTGAGAGGAAGGAGGGGGGTGGGTATACATACATAATGAGTGAGATGTGTACCATCTGGGGGATGGTCATGCTGGAGACTCAGACTTGTGGGGGGAGAGGGGGAATGGGCATCTATTGAACCCTTAAAATCTATACCCCCATAATATGCTGAAATAAAAAAAAAAATGGTGGCACACCACAGACATTGTCCTGTACCTTGCTTTATCCTGGAGACGGCCCACATCGGTACGTGCAAAGTTGCTTCATCCTTTTTAATGGCAGCACGAATTTCACTTCGTGTGTTTATCATCTGTTCTTAATGAGCACCCTGTTATAGGCATCTGGGATTTCTCCACTCTTTGTCTCCATAAACAGCTGCAGTTAACATCCTCCTCACAAGGAATTATCTGTAGCCTAAATTCTGAAAGATAGAATTGCTGGGTGAAGGATATGTGCCTTGCTAATTTTGCCCTCTAGAGAGGTTGCACTAATGAATGGGTACATTGTTTGCCTAGATTAAATGGGCCACAGTGAGCCTCCTCCACAACCACCCCAATGTCAGTCCCTACCCAGTGCATCTCTGTAACCCCCACGCTGCAGGGGGGGAGGGACTGTATCTGGAAACGTAGCGTAGACGAGATGGCCTTTTCACCCCTGCTCATCCTCCTGTGTGAGCCGTCCCATCCTCTCCCTGTGTTCTTGGTCCATGAACAGTGAGGACCAGGGCTGCCCTAGACATCAGGGAGCTCAGGCCGTCCCTCAGGCCGTCCCCCAGGCCCAGCAGCAACAGGCCAACAGGCCCCACGTCAACTCCCCTCCACCTGTGGCTCAGCCATATGAGAGGCAGAGGTATCCATCCAGATAGACAAGGTGGGCCTACAAGCTGCAGCACTGCTCAGCACAGTGTGCAGGGTGCCAGTCATGGCCCTGTCCTGGGACAGTGCACATTCCAGACCCAGCATGTAATGGGGAGCCTAGGCTAGGTCCTCAGTTCCTACTGAAGCCATCATACTCCCCCTCACCTTCCATTCCTCTCTTAGCTCACTCATTTTTCTCCTGGACTGCAGATGCCCTTAATACTGAAACCCACCACAGCATCCTATGGCAGCTGACTCTGGGTGTTTGGCAGGGCTGATGTGATTAAGTTAGACCAGGTATACAAGTGGAACATCAGGTAAATCATTCCTAAAGGCTGATATAGGGAGTGGGCAAAATACATAGGAATCACACAGAAGTGAGAAAGGGAGGTTGCCTGAATCCTGAGGGGCTCTTTGGCTGCAAGAGGAAAGTTTTTATCATCCCTTAATGTCACTGCAGGGCCCCCAAAGGGCCATAGCTACAGGAAAGGGAGGCCAGACCCCAGTTACCCAGAAGAGTGAGCCCTCAGGACAGTGGCTGTGGGCCCACATCTCTCTCCTGCAGGCTGGTCAGCTGTGGCCTCACATCCAGCTGCTGCCAGGACCTGGCCTCTGTGCTCAGCACCAGCCCCAGCCTGATGGAGCTCGACCTGCAGGAGAACGACCCGGGAGACCTTGGCGTGAGGCTGCTCTGCGAGAGGGTGTGGCATCCCGCCTGCCGACTCAGGCTCCTGGGGTAAGGCCCTGTGGGGCCCTTCTGAGCAGAGGGCAGGGAAGGGAGAGTGGTAGGGTGGAGGGGGATTGGATAAAGGAAGGAAGAGGGACTGATAAATGCACAGTCTGCCTGGGTTTCTTATCAGCTCTGCCACCTACTTACACGTGCAACTCGGGCAAGACACTGTCTTCCCTGAGACTCAGATTCTCCATCTGTGTAATGGGAGTATTACACCCACTTCATGGACTATAATCAAATAAAATGTATGTAAGAACAAGGACATTGCTGAGAAGAGAGTTAGGTATGATCAATTGATAACTGCTAGCAAGGCTGTGTGTACTAAAGGACTCCCAGCTTCACTTCACTCCAAGGCAGCACTTCATTCATTCATTTACTCATTCATTCATTCACTGCATGCCTCCCATGTGCAAGCACTGGGCCAGGCACTCAGCATAGGATAGTGAGCAAATAGACCTGGGCTCTGCCCTCCTAAAGCTTAAACTCTAGTGGGAATGAGCTAGAAGTTGATCACTTATGAATGCACAAGTATGTATATACTAGTATCAGCTCTGTTGAATGGTATAAAGGGGAAGTACAGGGTATTATGAGAATGTAACACCGGGAGAGGATGGAATGAGATTCAAGGGGCCCAGAAGGGCTTCTCTGAGGAAGTGGTGTCAGGCTGAGGCCTAAAAGAAATAGGAGCTGTGCAGACCAAGTTGGGGAGAGTGATCCAGGCAGAGGGGTAGCATGGGGAGAGTCCCCAGAACAGAAAGGGGCTTGAGCACTGGAGAGCTAGGAGAACCCTGTGTGGCTGGAGCAAAGCGAGCCCTTTGCCCTCAATTCCTATTTTGCAGGCCCCAGAGGTTAACGTCCTTCCCCAACTAGTCACCCCAACACCACCGATGGGCCACTTCCTCTTTATTCCACCTCCCTGAAAACAAGCCCATGGGCCATTTCTGGCTGAACATTTCCCTGCAGCTCCTGAGAGGCTTGGCCACATGCTCAGGGAGCTGACAGAGCCCTCAGGTCCTGCTCTGAGCTCTGGACTGGGTGTGGGAGTCCTGCACCCTTGAGCTGCCCCAGCCAGGCCTCCTGCATCTACTCCCAAACCTAAAAGAGGAGTCAGGCAGCATAACGGGAATAAATTTTCTACATTTGGGATCTGCTGTAGCTAAAACTGGCCACTACAACCAGGGAACTGTATCCCCAGGGTGTGCACCTATGTACCCTAGCCTCTCTCCCTGAGTATATTGGCTGTCACCATCTGCCCCGTGTTGGAGCCTCCTCAGACCTTGGCCACAATGGTTGTCAAACTTCAATGGGCTCCCCGGGGAGTTTGTTCTCCCTGCAAAGGTTCTCCCCCCTTCCCTCCTGGAGCCTGGGACTTGGTTGAGAGGGACAACTTTCTCCTGCCTGGGCTCATCCCCTCCCCAAGGGAGAACAGCTCTGACCACAGTAGGGTGACAAATCCATGGCCCTTTACAGGTCCAGGGAATTTTCCCCTCCTGCCTCGCTGAGCCTCCCAACAGGCAGAGCAGGCGTGATTCACCCAATGTTATAGACTAGGGACACAGAGGCCCCAAGAAAGCAATAACTATCCCAAATCTGGAGAAAGCCCAGAATATCAGGGCTATGAGAACGGAATCAGGGCTCTCTCTTTTCAGCAAAACCTCCGACCTCTGGGAAGGAAACCCCAGGACCAGAGCCTAGATGGTCACTGTGAGGCCATGGGGAGTGCTACTGGTGGCTGGCAGCAAGGATCACCCCTGCCAGTGACAGTCCCTCACTGAAGGCCACACCTCCTTCCTCAGGTGGCCTGCATCCAATGACTGACAAATGTTGGGATACAAAGGCCCAGCCCATAGTCCCAACTCCAGTCCATTCTAAAGGGCCATCCCAGCTTCAGAACTGCCCATAGGGTGGGCTGAGGCCTATCCTGAGATGTCCCTGTACCCACATGCCCCTCTGCGCAACACACCTCCCTCCTTCCCCTCACCCTAGCATGGCCCCTAGAGGACTCCCTAATAAACTTCCTCACGATACTCTCCACCTTAGACCCGACCCCCAGGGAGAACAGCCTACCACAGATTCCTTCAAGAGTTGCAGATCCAGGGATCTGGGCAAGCCCCAAGGGCATGGGGATCATGGGGGACCCCAGAAGAACCAGGCCCCTTTGTGCTTACAGGCTAGACCAGGCCCCACTGGGCGAGGAGCTGAGGGAGCACCTGAGGGCCCTGCAGGAAGAGAAGCCTCAGCTGCTCATCTTTGGCAGAGGGTAAGGGGGCCCCGAACTCTCTCTGGCTGGCGCAGGCCCAGGGCTGAGCCAGGAGACTGGGAAAGATTATCAGGGTGAAAGAGACACACAGAGCCAGGAAGAAACCAGGAAACCATAGCAGCCGGAGTGAGGTTCATTTAGTGCAAATACAATCAAATCACTTCCCTGCTTAAACCCTTCCATTAGACAAACAAGGGCAAGGAGAAGTAGGGAAGCTGAGAAGTGATTGGGGGAGTGAGTGAATCCTCTGGGGTCAGCACAGTGTGACACCCAATGGCCACTAGTACAGGCTCCTTCAGTGCAGAACAGAGAAGGTTTGAAACAGTGGAAGCAACACCCACATTGGGGAGACAGAGACAGAGAGGATGCCTTAGGAAAGAGACCACCCTCACCATTCCCCCCTCCACACACAGATACATACACATGCCCCTGTCTTAAGGGGAGAATCCATCTCCCACCCCAAGGAATTTCCTGCAGCCCCCATGTTGTCTCACTTGGTGCATTTCAGCCTATGTCTATAAAGTACAGCTGTACCCAAGTTGCTGGCTGCTGTGCCTCGCCTGAAATGGAGGGGAAACAGCTCCTAGGCTCAGGAGCAGGCATGCATACATTGATCAGACATTGCCTGCAGACCCACTGTGTGTTGGGCACTGTTTTGGGATCTGACATCATACCACTGAACAAGACAGGGCCAGTCTCAGGAGCATAGCCCAGAAGAGAAAAGGCACAAGTCACCCTGCAGGCTGCATAACTGCACCTGCGCTGGGTGTGAGTGCACTGATGGGCCCGTCTGACCTTGTCCAGAGGCGCTGAGCTGAGCTGTCAGATGGGAGGGGTCAGCTGGGCCAAGAAGGGGTCAATTCCAGGTAGACGGAGGGGCTGTAAGACAGGAAAGATTTAGTTGCCTTGAGGAACAGAAGGAGGCCAGGGGTCTGGGGCAGTGCTACTCAAAATGTGGCCCATGGAGCAGCAGCATCACCATCACCATCACCCGGGAGAGACACAGAACTGCAGGTTCTTGGGCCCCATTCAGACCTGCAGAATCAGAATCCCAGGGGACTAGGGGGGCAGGGATCTGTGTTATAGCAGCCCTCCAGGGGGGATTCAAAAACACTGAGTTTGAGAACAACTGGTCTACAGGCCAGTGGGAAGGGGGAAAGTGGCCTTGGTGGAGTTGCAAGGGCACAGGGGCCACAGCAAAGCCTTTTAGATCATGTTAAGAATTATCTGTTTTCCCCGAGAAACAACAGAGAGATATTACAGGGATTCAGCAGCCAAGTGATGTGTCAGATTCACATATGAAGATCAGCTGCTGTGTAGAGAGTGGGCTGCAGGGGGACCCAAGGGAAGCAGGGAAAACTTTTGGGGACACTGCAGGGTTCAGGCCACAGGTGCTAGGGCCTGGCACTAGGGTGGAGGGAAGAGAACAGAAAGAAGAGCTATTGGGAAGTGCTGCCAAGGCCAACAGCTCTCAGGGTGTGTGGGAGGTGTGACACCCAGCACTCGCATGGAAAGGTGTGCTGTGCTATAGTGCTGTGACACCCCAGCACTGGCATGGAAGGATGGGTGGATTGGGGGACGGGGTGGTCATTCACAGAAACAGGGACCACAGAAGGAGCATGAGCTTGAGTTCAAATGCGAAGACTTAAATTGTAAGAGGAGATGTCATGCAGACAGCCCTAGCTGCCTCTGAGAACTTAGGGAAAATGAACAACTCTGTGTCCAGGAAGCCAAGCATGATGATCCCTAATGAGCATCAGGACGAAGGAGAGATGACTAATAAGAGGTCCTCACTCAAGCGGCAGAGGCCAGAATCAGGTAATTTGAAGGAGTCAGGCAGGGAGGATCATGGGGCAGGGGGGAGGTCATCCCCTCCATCCCTTGTCTCTTATGTGGGATGGGGCAGGTTTGCCGCCTAGGAAGGCCCTGTCCCATGCATGATTTCCTGTGCCTAGCACCTGGCTGGTTTTCTCCTTCCCTGTCCCCTAGCATCAGGGGCTGGTATTGATCTGCTCCAGAACATCTGTGGCATGGATCAGATTCAGAACCAGGGGCCCAGACTCTCATCCTAGGCTGCTGAGGCCTGGGAATCACTTCTCCATCCCTGCCCATCCATGTTTTGAGCCATGTTCCTCTTTCAACCTGCCCTTCTGGGGCATGTGGGAAGAACAACACCCTGGACCAGTGGGGAAGGTGGGGGAGGCTGGCAGAGGCTGGGTTAGGGACAAGGGATGGGCCTCCACAGACAGCCAGCAGGCAGCTCCAGGAGCAGGGGGGAGACTGCAGACATACTCCCTGGCACCCTGCCACAGGCCAGCCTTGGGAAGGGCCCCATAAGGTCGAGGGTAGGGTCCGGGGGACACCAGGCAGGAGAATCTAGAGCTGACCACTGCCCCACTGTTCCAGAGGGTAGCTCCCCACAGGTAGCACAGAAAGTGGAACCCTTCTGTCTGTCTTCTCCTGCCTCTCTGAGGGACTTGCACATGGAACTTCTGGGGACTGAAGATGACTTCTGGGGCCCCACAGGACCTGTGGCTACTGAGGTAGTGGACAAAGACAGGAGCCTGTACCGGTGAGTGCGGGGGCTCTGCTGGTCTGAGGCCAGCCTCCCCTGTCCCACTCCCCCACTGGGTCCCCTTGCACAGTCAGCACTCCAGCCACTCCCCTGTTGGGTTCCCTCCTCTTGCCAAGCCAGCAGGCAGGGACAGGGCTGAGACACTGGGTGTGCATGTTTTATTATAGGGAAAATATATTTTATCATGAGAGTTTTCAGATATATACCAAAATAAAGAGTACAAGCAACTTCTATGTACTCATTACACAGCTTCAACCACGAATATGCCAAATTCATTTCAACTGTTTATTTTCTCCTCCTTTTGTTATTTTCACAATATTTTCTTTTTATTTTTTCCATGTACTTCCTATTTCACATAAATTTTTATAATACTTTAAATTCAAGACATCTGGTGATTTTATCCTTAAATATTTTATGTGTCTCAAAAATGAAAATAAAAGCCTTGTCTTCCATAACCATAGTGCCATTATCACATTTAACAAAGCTGCCAATAAGTTTTCATATTATCTAATACCTAGTCCAGATTCAGATTTGCTCAATTATATAAAATGTGTTCTTGCAGGTGGTTTGTTCTAATCAGGATCTAAACAATGGCCACTCCCTGTATTTGATTTGTTATATCTCTTAAATCTCACTTAAATCTCTTTAAATCTATGTGCTCCCATTTTATTAATAGCCACTTTGTGCTAAGGACCGTACTAGTAGTTGAGAACCCTAAAATGAAGATGGTGGCCCTGCCCTCCAAGGCCAGCCTGATCTCTTATATAGCACATTACCATTCACCAAACACTGTCACAGTCATTATCCCCACTGGAAGACAGTGTGACTCCCAACTCACATATATAGAAGCTGGCATCCCAGGACCCCAACATTGCCACATGGAAAAGTCACTTAAGATGTCTATAAAGCATTGTTTTCAGCTCCAAGGGTTGACCATTAATATTAGCATGTGGGCCAGGTACACTGGCTCCCACCTATAATAGCAGCACTTTGGGAGGCCAAAATGAGAAGATCATTTGAAACCAGGGATTTGAGACCAGCCTGTGCAACATAGAAAGATCCCTCTGTCTACACAAAAATTTTAAAAAATTTAGCCAGTGGTGGTGGTACCTGTTGTCCTAGCTACTCATGAGGCTAAGGTGGGAGTATTGCTTGCAGTTATAGTGAGCTATGATTGTGCCACTGCACTCCAGCCTAGGTGACAGAGCCTGACTTTGTCTCTAAAAAAAAAAAAAACCAAATAAACAAAAAAAAATTATAATATAGAGTGTTATTATTGGTAAATGGCCCTTTAGAAATAACAACATTTGCCCATTTCATCAGCAGCAGCAGCACTGTCCTGTCATCATGATAGAAACAGCTAACTTCCCCCAGACTAGTACAAGCTGCCAGCATGCATTAGTCACGTATCCTCACAACTATAAAATGGGTGCTGTTACTATTCCTACTTAGAGATGAGGAAACTGACAATAGACAGGTTACGTGACTTGCTCCTGGATCCACAGTGCGAGAGTAGAAGAGACAGGACTAAAACCCAAATCTGTCTGACTCTGAAGTCTGGGCTTGCAACTGCTCTGCCATATTCAAAAGCCCCTGCAGAGTGTCTGGCGTCCAGCAGGTACTCAGCGAGTTTGTGTAATGTAGTGTCTGCCTCTCCCTCTGCCTCCCAGAGTTCACTTCCCCGGGTCTGGCTCCTACTACTGGCCCAACACAGGCCTCCACTTTGTGGTGAGAAGGGCAGTGACCATCGACATTGAGTTCTGTTCCTGGGACCAGTTCCTGCGTGGGACCAGCCCACAGCACAGCTGGATGGTGGCAGGGCCTCTGTTTGATATCAAGGCTGAGGCGGGATCCGTGGCAGCTGTGCACCTCCCTCACTTTGTGGACCTCCAAGGTAAACAAGAGGGAAAGATGGAGGGTGGCTAATAATGGCCCTGAAGGGGAGTGTGGGACAATGCTGTCCTGGGAGAGGGGCTTGTGGCTTCCTTAGAGGGACAGGGAGAGGGTTATGGAGGTGGAGACTGAGATTGTTCCTCATTCTGGTCTTCTTTGAACATATGTGTCTTGAAACTCATGTCGCCAGCCTCACAATTATTTTTGCCTGTGCTTACTTGAAAAATTCCCTAAATGGAAAATGATTTCCTCAATGACAATAGTAACTAGCATTTATTCAGTGCTCTTTATATAGATTGTGTCACTCAGGGTCCCAACAGGAAACAGATTATATTCTCCATGGAGATTTTTGAAGAGACTTTTCAAAGACAGGACTATATACAAGGTAGGGCGACTTGAACTAATGTGGAATGTTTGGGTACCTGGAGACTAGCAACCCTGGGAAGCCATTACTACACCTACAGGAGGGAGAAGAAACAGTGTCACCAGATAGCATTTGAGAGCTGGAGCCATGAGAGACAGGCATCCCAATAGAAGACAGTAGTCATAGTGTATCCCAACCTCGGTCACCTCTGAGACTTCCCACAGATAAAGTTCCAAGAAAGAAGCTCACAGTCAAAAATATTACAAAGGGTAACTAAGGCACCATAAATGAGAGTCAGTGGGAACTACAGGTACCAGAGTCATTCCCTTAAATACTTCAGAAACTGGAATTATCAGAAACAGAACATAAAATAAGTATGTATAACATGCGTGAAGAAATAAGTAGTCTGAAAAATATGAGCAAGAAGGAAGAAAACATTAAACATGTTAAGCCAAATTTGGAATCAAATTAAATTGACAGAAAATGTAAGGAAATTTTTAAAGAAGAACAAGTAACATAGATAGATGATACCATGAGAAGACCTAATATACATCAAATTAGTTTCCAGAGGATCTAATAGAGAGAATGGAGAAAGATACAATATTCATAGAGAGAATATTTAATAATTGTCAAGAAATTTCTAGTGTTGCTGAGGGATAAGCTACTTCTCAGAATGAGAAATCCAAAAATCCGAAGAGGGACAGACAGACGAGGGAGAGAAAGACACCAAGATTTGACTCACTTTGGTGAAACTACAGAACAACAAAGTATCTGGAAGGTCTTGACAGTAGTCAGAAAGAGAGATAGCCTACAAAGAACTGCCATGAGGCTGATGACTGATTTTTGAACAGCAGCAATGGAGGTGTAAGAAAATGAAATTATCTCCTCAATGCACTCTAAAATACTGTCTGTCAAAAATTATAAACATAAAATTAATAACTTTATTTTTTAAGAAAAGGATAAAATAAAACACTTTAAAATAAACTAAAAACCAAACCCAAGAGCACTTAACACAAACAAATGCTCACGGAAAGAAATTCTAACGGATGCAGCACCGGCTAAAGGAAAATGATCCCACATGGAAGATGCGAGGTGCAAGACGGAATGATAAGCAAAACCCCTGAGACATGTGTAGGAAAATCTAACACAACATCGACTACAGAAAGCAATGATATTAAAGTCTGATATGTGGGGATTTATTAGAGAGAGATAACTAAATAAATACCAACAATAATAGCATCTAAGAGTGTTAAAGGATTCCATGATCTTGGTAGGCAAGGCTGACCTTCAAACAGATGCGCCACGAATACTGTCCAGGTTTAAATACCGAAATGCTTCTGAACAGGGCAGTAAAGGGAAATTCTTTATGTATTGAGACCACACACTACCTAACAACATCATTCAGTTGGCTGCGGTGCAGCATGGCAGGGGTGGCCAAGGCAGCTTTGCCGTGGACCAGCCCAGGGCAGGCGGGAGGGTCGGAGCCTGTGAGGCAGCAGATGGGGGCACACAGAGCACTGTTGTGAGCAAGGGCTGCAGCACGGGCTCCCCACCCCTGGCCACCTGGGTAGACCTGGCATAGAATGAAACCTAGACAATGCTGAGTGCCAGGGACCTAATGTCTAACGTGTAGTGAGAAAGTTAGAAGAATCTGATGTGGTTCCCCATGTCAAATCAGGACTCAGGCAGGAGCTTCCTTTAACTGATGACAGAATGACTGGATAAACAATTTGTGTTACAGCTTCTATCAGTTGTAAGCACTTTCATGATATGTACAGATTAGTTAAGTAGTGAAAATCGATATATTTTTTAATTTTTACTGTATATATTAGTTTTTAAATTAATTCATAGTATCTCCCCAGTAGTTCAATATATTTGGTATCACCTCGAGGTAAAGGTATTAATCTAGACTTTAAGTATGCACATTAAAATATTAGGGTAATCACTCAAAGCATATACATAAGAAAAGTCATTTAGAAACAAGTAGAAAAAAAAAATGGAATGAGAAAAATACAAAGAAAGGAACTGCCTAGTACCCAGACCCAGAAAGTCTTGTTTGTAGAGGCCACAAAAGCTCAGGAGACAATTCAAGCTACACACCAGAAGGAAAGTGCAGGGCAGGGAAATATAGGCCAGGGCCCCAGGAGTCCTGGAGACCCTGGCTTAACAGACAGGGCCATGCAGAGTTCCCTAGGGAAGGTTCTATGGTAATGTCTGGTGGGGGAGGGAGGAAAGCAACCCGGGGGTTGGGCAGGGCCCCTTCCAGGAATCCCTGCTGCCTGCTCTCTGGGCTGAAGCTGTTTGTTGCCCTGCAACAATGACCTCACTGCTAATCAGAGGTCTGGTTTAGGATTTGGGCACTGGCCACTTCTTCACTCTTATTGCTGAAGTCCTCTGTTGAGTCATCAATTTTCCACAGTGAGTTTCCTCCCACTAGAGCTAGAGCTTAGAGCTTTCAGCCTCCCAGCTTCACCCTGGGGTCTGGCAGACCTTACCTCAGCACTCTGGCCATTCTCACCCTCCTGCAGGACCAGCTCCATCAGTTGTGGGGCCCAATGCAAAATGCATATCTCTTATTAGCCATGTGTCTTGTTCAAAAATGATTAAGAGGACTATTAAAATGGTGACAGTAGAATATTAAACCAGGTGCCTTCTGAGCTCAGGGCTCTGAGTGACCAACCGCACAGGCCACACACCCATGAAGCTGGCCCTGTCTTTGCAGACCCTCGCCTTCCCCACCACCCCATCTCCTTCAGAAGGCAAAGACCCCTGTTCTCCACTTCCTCATTTTTTGTCTCACATGCTCCTTTCTGTGCTGCCCATGGAGAACAAAGACACTTGACATAGCCACCTTGGTGGGCTCATTCACCAGCTCTTCCCTCTCCCCCTCCTGACCCACCCAGGAGCTTACCTGAACCAGATTAGATTACAAGGAACCACAATGATATCCCACATGCCTCAAAACTGTGGGTTCTCTGGAACCAGCACCTTCTAACTCATGTAACAATAGAGCGTCTCAAAAATGCAGATTCACGAAAATACATCTTAAAAGGCCCTTAGGGCTGAGCACGGCAACTCAACCCTGTAATCCTAGGACTTTGAGAGGTGAAGCTGGCAGGATCACTTGAGTTCAGGAGTTGGAGGTTGCAGTGAGCTATGATCACAATTCAAGCTGCACACTGGGAGCAAAGCACACTGTGAGGAAAGCACTGCGCTCTAGTATTAAAATAAAAATAAAAAATAAAAAAGATCATAGTATTTTTTGTTCCCAAACCCCAAGGGTTACCAGGGGGACTGTGCCAAGTTGTTTGAGGAAGAAAGAGAAAGAACCACAACATCCATGAGTGATGTGCTTGGTCAGGCTGCATTTTATCTGTGATAACAGCAGGTAACCCTTGCTATCCCAAGTGCTCTACAGACACAAACCAATTCAATGTTCACAATGACACGGGGAGGTGGACACTGCTATTGGCTTCACTGATGATGTGTGGAGAGGTTAAGTAATCTGCTCACAGTTGCTTTGCTACTTAGGGCTTTTGCTGGGTGTCAAACTCAGACAGTCTATATCATTTAAACACACTGCTACATGGCTCTCACGTGATGGGGGACCCATTGTCCCTCCTTGAGCAGGAGTCTCTGCTACAACAGCTCACCTGAGCCTGGAAGCTGCAGGCAACACACTAAGCAGGGAAGGCAGGGCCATGGCATAAAGGCCACAGGCCCAATGGCAGGGTCTAAGAGCAGGAGAGTCCCCAGGTCCCTGGACTGCAGCATGAGCAACAATGGCCCAAGGCAAACACTGAGCATGCCTCTGGGAAATGAGGAGGAAGCCAATGGGCTTAGCCTGACAAAGCACTTGTGATGCCTTGGGCCATCAGCCTGTCTTCCCTGTTGGGCCATGAGCTCTGGAATTGCAGTGCCTGCATCCTCCTGCTCACAGCTACATGCACAGGGCCTGACACATTGTAAGGGCTCAATAAAGTTTTGTTTAATGAGCAGATGTAAACCCTTGGGCCCTAGACCCTACCACCGAAACTGGCTTGTCTAAATATTTCTAATGAGACCAACTAAACGCAGCTCTGCACAGAAGTTCTTCTTGCCAATGAGATTTCTCCCAGTCAACACTCAAGCTTCTTCTCCTTCAGGCCATGATCTTCCTTGTTGCTTCTCTTTTCTCTCCAATCTATCAACACAAACATACTGTCAGGTTTGGAGAAGGTGATTCTGCTACTGTCTATGGAAAGGACAGAATAGGCAAGAAGGAAGGTGACCAACTCCTCTCAGATAGTCCAGGACTTTCTTGATCTTAACACTGACAGTCTTGCATCCTAGGAACCCTCTCAGTCCTGGGCAAGCTGGGACACAGTCAGCCACCCTAGCAAGAAGGGAAGTTGGAGACACACAGCACCTTCCAGAATTCAGCCAAAATTAGTTTGGCACAGAGCATCTGTGAGTATCACTATCTGTGGTCAGTGATCTGGGATCTGGTCCTAGGACCAAGACTAGCTGTGTGGCCTTGAAAAAAGCACTTCCCTCCCAGGGTTTCAGTTCCCGCATCTGACACATGAGGACATTCCAATGCTGTGGAGGTCCAGGTGAGACCATCCATTTAGTGTCACTGATGACAGTGCAAAGTGGCACCGCCTCTTGGAGAAGCAATTTTGGAAGAAACAAAAGGTCTTACCCTTTCACACACTTTTCCTATCCCTTGGTAGTTACTGATTTCATGCCAATAACTCAAGGGAAATAGAAATGTTCTCTGCTGAAATATGTGCATTGCAGTGCTGTGTAAAAAGTTAGTAACATGGTAAAAAGTTGGAAGCATGCTCCTGAAAGAAGTGGATGGTGAATTACAGGGTGAGGTATCCACTAGGAGGGATCATATGCTGTGGTCATTAGAAAGGTCTGACAGATGCCTGCACCATTTAAACTGTCATGGGAAAAACAGGAGACAAACAGCTACATGACTATGAAAAGGTGTTGCTACAGAGAAAGACTGTGACAGAAAAGGCTACAATAGTAGCAATAGTTATATGTGAGATTCATAGATGAATTGTTCCTCATTGTTTCATATGAGGTATGACATTATGCTATTATTTTTCATCCAAAAACTGCAATTAATAAATGAGAAAACTTAAGTAAGGATCTCTATGTGTCCTTGTAGGATTAACATCAGTCAGTGACATTCTGATTGGTACTCCACCCACTAAGGGCCTTGTTCAGGTTTCCAGATGTCTTGTTGCCCAGAAACCACCTACATCGCAGCAGTTGCCAGGCAATGCAGTGATGGAGCCAGGACTCCTCATCTGCAGGCCAGTGTCTCTTTCACCACCAGCCTTCATTGCTCAAACTGTCTCCTGTGGCTTTAGCTTCTTTACCTGGTGTACTGGTCAGAGCCTCAAGTCAAAGAAACCAATTCTGTGTGATGAAGGAATATATTGGAAGATTCTTGAGTAGCTCATAGACTTACAAAAGCTTCTACAACAAGTCTAAGTGAGAACAAAAAGACACTGACACAATGATGCTGAGAAACCAAAGACACAACCAAAATCAAACCAAGAAAAATATGGAGAGACCCCCACTTCAGACACAGCTGCTGTGGGATCTGCCTGCCATGGGGCCACTGGACGTTTGACTCTACTGCCACTGCCAAAATAATCTGTCTCTTCATCTGTGATCCACCCCTCTAGGCTGGAGGTTCTGGTTAGGGACATCGACTTAGCCAAGGCTTGGCCGCATGCGTGTGTCATAGCCGCCAGGGAGTAGCAGCTTGCTGAGTGAGAGCCTCAGCAAGCCCCACACAATGCTGGAGGAGGTGGCTCTTCCCAAAGAGAAGAGTTTTTGCATGGTGAGTGGCCAGTGTAGGGTACCTTGACCATTTGATAATGTAGGTTACCCTTGGTCACTCCATTTCCCACCATCCCTTCCTTCTTGTTCTCTACCTGCCCAAAGTCAAACCTACCAGCATCACTCAATGGTCCCTAACAGGTACAGAATAAACACCAGTACAGGTTCAGTATCTTTCAAGCACCAGGGCCAGGCGATGGACCTGGGTATAAGTTTGGCTCAAAGAAGTTCCTGAGGTGCTCCCACCCTAGAGACAGTATCACCTGCAACCTCCAAAGGCCCCAGACCCAGGCATAACCCCTTCTCCATGCTGGGTGTCTTAGTCCATTCAGGATACTATAATAAAATCTTTCTCACTAGTAGCTTATAAATAAGAGAGGTTTGTTTCTCAGTTTGGGAAGCTGGGAAGTACAAGATCAAGGTCCCAGCAGATTCGGTGTCTCTTGAGGGTACTCTTCCTCTTAGATGGTCCATTCTAGATGTGTCCTCTCAGAGTGGAAGAGACGAGCAAGTTCCCTTGGATCTCTTTTATTAAGGCACTGGTCCCATTCATGGGGATTCTGCCCCTATGATCTAGTCACCTCCCAAAAGGTTACACTTCGTTTATTTTGAAAATGAGGTTCTTGCTATGTTGCCAAGGCTGGACTCAAATTCCTGGTCTCAAGGAATCATGCCATGTCAGCCTCCCTAGGAGCTAAAACTACAGGCAGCTAAAACTACACTCAGCTAATTTTTTCCTATGATTGTGGTAGGAATTCCACCTTTAATACCATCACTTGGGGGCTACAATTTCGACATAGGAATTTTGGGAAGACACATTCACAATATGTGTTCCCCCAAGAAGGTCCCGGAGCCAAAGCCCTGGGATCCTCCTGTGCCAGCCAAGCCTGACTCAGTGAGGGCACTAAATCCATGCCTATCTATTCCATTCTTTCACAGGGGGCCATGTGGACATCTCCCTGTTCCAAGTGGCCCACTTTAAAAAGGAGGGGATGCTCCTGGAGAAGCCAGCCAGAGTGGAGCCACATCATACCATCCTGGAAAACCCCAGCTTCTCCCCCATGGGAGTTCTACTGAGAATGGTCCATGCAGCCCTGCGTTTCATTCCCATCACTTCCACAGTGTTGCTCTACCATCACCTCTATCGTAAGGAGGTCACCTTCCACCTCTACGTGATCCCCAGTGACTGCTCCATTCGGAAGGTGACACTAAGAACCAGAAAGGCTGGGTCAGGGTGGACTAGTGGTAAACACTAAATGCAGACAAAGAGGCCCCAGAGAGGTTCTTGACTAGGATGGGCCTCTTGTAAGAGGGAACCTCTATGTGGGTGAACAGTCCTGCCCCCTGCTCAGCCACAGGCTGGGCTCCTGACTCCCTAATGTCTCCCCAGCTGGGTTTACTGCTCCATCACTCATCTTTGCACAACTGTTTGCAGTCTCTTTCCAGGAGTCAAAGGATAGGAGGGCTCTGTGCCTAAAACCAGCCTTTCCCCATTCTTACTTCTTGCCCAGCAATGCCTTTGTTCCCACCCTGAGGATGACAGAGGCCCAGTGTGGGGCTGTGTGGCTGTGCTTGGGGAGTGAGTGGTGCAAAGGTGGTAGCCTCCACATACAAACACAGAAACACCATCTCCCCTATTCAGACCAGATCCTATGGGGCAAAATCCTCTCTTAATCATTATTCTGGACATTCCTTAGGCCATCGACGATGAAGAAAAGAAGTTCCAGTTTGTGCGAATACACAAGCCACCCCCGCTGACCTCATTGTACATGGGCTCTCGCTACACTGTCTCTGGCTCAGAAAACCTGGAGATAACTCCTGAGGTGAGCATCCCAGTGTTTGCCGCGATCAGAGGGCATGCTCAGGAATCCTTGTGGGACAGGTCTCAGTGCTGCAAAGGGGTGCGGCAAATTCGGATTGGACAGAAAGGGAGTGGGGTATGGGGAAGTAGGAATGCTGCAGAGATTGGAGGACAAAAAGCAGCCTCTGACCCCTCAGAAGGGATCTGAGGCTCCCAGCTGGACCTCAGTGTTATCACAAACAGACTGAGACTCAAAGGAAAAGGGAAAGGGAAAGAGGATCACACTCAGGATGTGGAGATCAATGGGGTTTAACTTGGGGTCACTGGGAAGTGCTTCGGCTGTAGGGAGCTACTGGCCTCCAGTGAACATCCACAGGAACACACCTGCAGCCGAACACGTTGGGTCTGTCACTCATTGTGTCAGGAGTACACACACCAGGGAAAACACAGGGTGTCTCAGTAAAAGGGTGTTAGAAAGAACCTACTGTAGGATTTGGGCCTTAGTTAGGTAATTTGGAGGAAGGTCTAAGGAAATGGAGATTTGCTCTAGATTGGGCATTTTTAGTAAACAGGGACAATTCTACAAATGGGAATCTCAACAAATCTCTCTGGAGAGGGTAAAGTAAAGCAAGCACAAAGCTGTAACTGCTAAACAAGTAGTCCTCGCTCATTTAGCACAGGTGGTATCTTTGGCATTTTCTTGACTGCCCAGTGACCTGTCTGTAGTGGACGTTCTGAGACTGTGTGTGTTTGACCAAAGGACAACACGGCAGCGATGTGAGTCTCAGTCTGTTTGTGATAACACTGAGGTCCAGCTGGGAGCCTCAGATCCCTTCTGAGGGGTAAGAGGCTGCTTTTTGTGCTTTCTCAGTCCACCCTTAGGGTGAAAGGCACATGAAGTCGGGCCACTGGGCATTAATCCTTGATATACAAATCTTCACTATGGCCCACATTTGCTGAATGGTAGTCTGTAGTTGAACCAGGGTTAATCCTTCTTTCTTTCTCCTTTTGTTGTGAGATGAGTCTTTGAACCATCTGACATAACAATAGCTGTGCAGCATGTAAGACTCAGGACAGGGTACTTTGGACAACTGGAACACAGGCAGTTATCAAAAACAAAAGGACTATTAGTCTTAGTAATAGGTCTCCAAACCAGGGGCCTAGATTATGGAAGCCAGTCAATAAAACATATCCAGACTCTGGCTGGTTCTATTTATGAAAGCCAGGGGGATGCAGTGATGTCTTTCTTAGTCAGAAATTCTTCTATTTACAACAAGTATAACTCAACAGAAAGTATTTGCTACAGGGAAAATTCCACCTTGACTAGCCATTAATTTTTATCTGCAAGGTAAGGTAGGGGATAATGAATCCAGCAATCAGTTAAATTCCGAGCAGTAGCTGGGTCTGGGAAAACATACAAGAGAGGTTTGTTTTTCCTACATGGTAGAAGGAAACCACAGGGAGTCAGAAATAATAGAATGAAGATAAGGGTGATCATATCAGTGTTTCAGAAGGTGTCAAAGCAGAATAATGGAAGAAGATTAGCAATAAAGGTACAGGAAAGAGTGTTGAAGAATCAGAAAATGTATCTTATTCCAACATCTTGGGCAGAAGCTATCCAACTCTGAAGTCCATGATTTCTGAAGGATTTCTTGTAATCTTCAATTTAATGTCTCCAGAGGGACTAGATATGCCAGAAATGTCCACGTGCCTGAACCCTTCTCGTCACTGCAGTCTCAGCTTCAATGTCACATCCTCCTGAGTGAAGACGGAGAAAAGTTGATGGACTCAGGGTATATTTTGGTGGTAGAGCCAACAGGACATGGGGGCTTGGATGTGCATAGGAAGGAGTTAAGGATGATCCCTAATTTGGAACCATATACCAAGTTTGTGAAAACTGGAGAAGGAGCATGTTTGGAAGACAGTTGTGAATAAAGAGTTCTGCCTTGGGTATGACTCAGGAAAGGGGATGCATATAAATTTCCTGTTGTTTGAAAGCAGGTCAAGTTTAGGATCCATTAGCAAGATAGGCTTTGTGCTGGAGCAATTAGGGTTTGGATTCAAGATAGGGGAGTAGAGGAAGAAGGATCTGGTTCATGGTGCGGGGAGGAGGATCTGGCTTAGGATGAATGAGCACTACTTTTTAAGGAGGAATCCTGACTTGTCCATGAGGTACCCAGCTGTGTCCTCATCCTTCTGAGTCAGCATTTGTGGGAAATGGAAAAGAGCACTGTCTGATGATGGCAACTGATTTCAGTACAGGAGGTTACTGGAATGTCCCTATGGGATGAAACAGGGTCAAAGTAGTGTCAGATGTGGGAAGAATCTCACTTGAAGGATGAACAGGATGGCAACTCTTTTGTCTCTTCAGGAACTGGAGCTCTGCTATCGGAGCCCCGGAGAACCCCAGCTGTTCTCGGAGATCTACGTTGGCCAGTTGGGGTCGGGGATCAGGTTGCAAATGAGAGACAAGAAAGATGAGACTGTGGTATGGAAGGCCTTGCTGAAACCAGGTAAAACCAGGACAAGCCCAGGGAGCCCAGAGGTTGGGGGAGAAAGGAAGTCAGTGAATATGTGTGCATGTAAGTGTGACAGTGTACATTATCACAATTTATTCATGAGAAGAAATAGCCCAGGGAAGTTAGGTGGTTTTTTCAAATGACTTAACTGTTGTTATGACCAGAATTTAAACTCAAGACAGTCTGACTCTCTAAGCCCTGTGCACCATGGTGTCTCCACACTACCCTTGAATTAACAGATCTTGACATTCACAAGGCTTTTAGCAAAGCTTTTCATGATATTTTGGATGAGGAATGAAAGAATAGGAAGTGTGTGTTGAAGGTTTATGATTATTATTACTAGATGATTATGTGGTTGTACAGATTCAGCCAATTTTGGCAATATCAGACACTCTCCCTTGGAGCATTCAGTATTTTCCAGGTAGACAATAGGGAATCAAATGGTGAAATTTCAGGGATGGAGAAATCCTATAGCTTTAGTCTAGCACCAGTACACCAAGAACCCAAATCCCCCAAACATTCCTTCTAGGGACAAATGTCAGCTGTCATACAAATGGAACTGTTTCTTGAGTTGCTACAAACAGGCTCACAGTGTGGTGGAAAGAGGGTGGGCTTTACTCAGTCATGGCTTCTGTGAACTAACCAGCCCCAGTTTCAAAACTGGGTCAAATCCCACTCTTACACAAAATTACTTAACTCCTTTGAGTCTCAGGGTCCTTATCTATATAACATGAGAATGATAATGACTAACTTGTAGGAATGCTGGAAAGTTTAAATAGACTGGTGTTTGTACATGAATTATGCTGTAGTCCTTAATTAATAGCAGCAATATTATTCTTTTTCCTCATATTAAGCCAATCTCCTCCTCCTCCTGGCAATCTGAATTCTATCCCTTGGAGCTCACAGAAGTCTCTCTCCTTCCCCACGGGAAAACCCATCAGACTCTTGATGTGATCATGGCCTCCATTATGTCTCCTCTTACAGGAGTTAAACATCTCCACTCCCTTCTATCATTCCTCCTCTATTTTGGTCTTTAAATTCTTTGCTGCCACCATGCACAGTAGATTCTCCAGTTGAGAAATGAATCAGGATTGACTCTCGGACTGTGCAGTCAGCCCACAGGCTGTGGAACACCGTCCTCCCTCCATCCAAATGGACCCTGTGCTCCCTGAACCACAGCCTGAACTCCCCTCTCTTTGTGCCCCCGTTCTGCACTGTGAGGTCACACTGAACCTGGGATCTTCTCAGACTCTCAGGCCTTGTTCACACAAACTGCAGTGAACTCCCCGTTTCTCTCCTTTGAAATAAATATATTAAGTCTCCTCTCTCTCTCTCTCTCTCTCTCTCTCTCTCTCTCTCTTTGTTACTTGATTTTCCTTCAAGTTCAGTCGTTCTTCCCACGTGCTAAGATTGCTTGATCTTGATTCTTGATTCTGACCATCCAAATCCAGAAGACACATATTTGGTCTGTGCCCGTCTACAAGGCCAAACAAGGACAGGAAAGTAGATTTCTACTCAGAGTAAGAAGATATCAAATAGTTAAAGCTTTACCTAGCAAGGAATTTGGTTAATTCTCCAACAGGGATTCAGATCAGGGAAACAGTAGATAAACCCGAGTCTGCAATGTTTGGAAGAAATTGCTACTGCTCATTCAGATGAATTCTCTCTCTTTATTGGTCTATGTTCATAGCCTCTGGGTCTCAGTTTCCACATATGCATAAGGAAGAGATTCTGAATCAAAGAATCTCAGAAGTGAGGGGGAGCTTGGAAGTGTATCATGTGTGTTAATAACTACTACTGCAACACATGCTCATTTATCTCTGTTTTCCTCCAGGAGATCTCAGACCCGCAGCTACCCTGGACCCTCCAGCCCCCATAGGTCAGTAACAGCTCTTAGGGAGCACAGGAGCCAGTGAGAGTTCTGGGGTGAACTATCTGGTCCTGGACAGAATGAGAGAGAGAACAGAAGGGACTCTACCATTGCAAAGCTCACTAGGATCAAGACCTAGAGAATGGTGTATGTCCCAGGGCAGAATCCCTCCTGATTCCCCTAGTTCCTTCCCACAGAAGTCTTAGAATCCCCCACAAAACTTCAAATGCCCCCATAATGGACCACACTACCATGCCCCACTTGGGCAGAATACCCAGCTAGATGCTGACATGAGGTAAGGCAGAGATGCCTTTCTGATGGTCAAATGCCTTTCCAGAGGGAGAGGAAGCCAGAGATGAGAGAGAAAAGGGCTGGAAGTGGGGGATGGAGGTAGAGTATTTGGTGGGAGCCCTTCTTTGTTCATTGCCAGCCTCACCTTCATCCCCGGACACACCGGCCTTGTTGCACTTCGTAGACCGGTACCGAGAGCAGCTAGTGGCAAGAGTGACATCGGTGGACCCTGTCTTGGACAAGTTGCATGGACAGGTGCTGAGCGAGGAGCAGTATGAGAGGGTGCGGGCCGAGGCCACCAGGCCGGGCCAGATGCGAAAGCTGTTCAGCTTCAGCCAGTCCTGGGACCAGGCCTGCAAAGATCGACTCTACCAAGCCCTGAAAGAGACCCACCCTCACCTCATTGTGGAGCTCTGGGAGAAGTGGGGTGGCAAAGGTGGGCTCTTGTCACTCAGAAGCTGAAGTCTGAACATCTGCTTTTGGATCCTGGCTCTACCTGACTCTTCTTTGTTTCTTAGTTTCTTCATCTGTAAACAAATTGCCATCTGACTTGTCTTCCAGCACTAAAGTGATGGAGCTTTGCTGCTGCTTCTTCTGGGCATTATATGTCCAAGCCCAGTGATGCCACACAGGTTCCAGACTGCCTCCTGTGGCCTTCCCAGGCTGCGGTCCAGGTGAGATAACAGTATCTAAGGGAATAACGTCCATCTGGAGCTGGCAAGAGTCCAGCAGACCTTGCAGAGCTTCGTGTGGTGGCCACAAGCAGCCAAGCCCAGAGCCCTCACTGTCCCATCCAGATGCAAGAAGGTGTAGGAGGAACATGGGACTGTTCCACTCTGGCTGGAGACAGACCATGGAAATGGACACATGTCCCTGGGGAGGCTGAATGGGTTATGAATTGGGAGGGCGGTGTGTGAAGGTTTATGATTTTTCAGTTGTTGTTCTATCCAGCCAAACCCACTCCTGCTGTTGGGAGTCACCCCAAAACCAACAGTAGGGGAATTCTTATAAGGGAGTGCCCCAAGCAGTCCCAAGATGGGGCCAGTTAGATTCCAAAGAAAGAAGCACTGAACAGCAGATTGATCAGTCCAAACCATGTGTTAGTGGAACTACACAGAGTGGGCTGCATTGCACCCTCCAGGCTGTAGAAAAGGGCTGTTCTACCCAGGTGTGTCCACAGCAAGGGGTCAGGTATGCAGTTTACATGATGGTTTAAGGAATTTGGCTCAGAGCAGGGGCCAGTTTCTTTCAGTGTTTGGGGCAACAACCTAGATACCTTGATCAGTGCCTGTGAATATTCAAAGCCCTAGCTTTGGTTCAAGTCTACTGGGAAAAGCGGCAGCTGGATGGGTCACAGAGCAGTTAAGGCATTTTGTGATTCTCCATCAGGACACAGAAAGAAAGCAGGGGCAACTGGGGGGATGCTACACACCTTGTTGACTCCCTGACTTTTCTGCCCAGACCATGTTGCTCACATGTTCAATAAATTTGGCTGGCTGTGGGGACTTTCCTCTGGAGATCAGAATATTCTTGAACTTTTGTGTCCCAGCTCTTGGACAGGTCCTATAATGAAATCTAGTCCCAGGACACCAAAATTTTGAGAAAGATGTTCTTTACCATCTTTTCATGTGTGTCCCTTGTAATATCCTTTGTAATAAATGGGTAAATGTCAGTGTTTCCTTAAGTTCGGTGACCTGCTCTAGCAAATTAATCAAACCTGAAGAGGAAGTCATGGGTACCACGTTTTACAGTTTGTCATTCAGGTTCACAAAAAGAAACATACCAATAGTTTCAGAAAGATTCTGCTCTTTCCACAACCACGTTCATATCGCACTATTGCTTTGAATTCCTAGGCTCAAATGATCCTCCTGCTTCAGCCTCCCATGTAGCTGGGACCACAGGCGTAGATCACCATACCTAGCTAATTTATTTTTGATTTTTTTTTCTAGAGATGAGGTCTCACTATATTGCCCAGGCTAGTCTTAAACTCCTGGCCTCAAGCTACCCTCCCACCTCAGAATCCCAAAATGCTGGGATTACAAGTGTGAACCATTAAGCCTGGCAGCCTGTCTTGATTTTTTATAGTCATAACCAAAGGAATGACAATCCACATCATGGTTTGCTCTCCCCAACCCATCAAACTCCCACAGTAAGGTCCCAAATCATATCCTATACTTACTACTGTACCAGGGTCCACGAGAGAATTAAGCCCTAAAGCCCAGGCATTCAATATATATAATGAATTAACTTCTTTCCTGTGCATCTGGAATGGTCCTTGTTATATCACCTTTAGGATAATTGAGAAAAGAACCAAATTATTTCCTGTGTTCTTTGGTTAAGATAACCCAGGAGGAACCCAGGAAATTATAAATACCCATATCTACCTGATAAAGCTCTCAAAACTATAACCTCCATGAGCAGAGGTACCTTGTCTGCCTTGGTCAAAGTATATATTCAAATCATACATATTTAAATAACTGAATAAAATGGAGGCTACAGATATTTAGTCAGATTCTCTATTCTATCTAAGAGTTTTCTCTAACTTTCTCTCTCAATCATCTTTTCCTTTTTCCCTCTGTTTTGGAGGATGAGGTCCTTGTCTCTCCTACTGGCACCCATGCTCTTATTCCACCTCATCTGCTCTCAATTCCCATGAAACCTTGCCCCACTTAACATCTCCTTCGTTTTACATCTCCAGGCAGTTTTTCCCTTTCCACCGGCAGTTCCTTCGATATGTACAATTACTTCATTATTTAAATCTCTATTCTTAAAACACACAAACACACACCCCTTGTCGCAACGACACTAGTCTCTCAAGTGACTGTTCCACTTGTATGTGTAACACCACACTTTTAAAATCTAGTCTAGCCAGGTGCAGTAGCTTGTGCCTATAATGCAGCTATTCAGGAGGGTGAAATAGGAAGATTGCTTGAGTCCAGGAGTCCAACACTAGTGTGGACAACATACAAAGACCTCATCTCTTGAAAAGGAAAAAAAGACAGAAAGAAAAAATTAGCCAGGAGTAATGGCACAAATCTGTAGCCCCAGCTACTCCAGAGGCTAAGGGAGGAGGATGGCTTTAGCCCAGAAATTTGAGGCTGCAGTAAATTATAATCATGCCACTGCACTCCAGCCTGGGCAACAGAGCAAGACCTCATCTCTAAAAAGTCAAAACAATTTAGTCTATATATACAGCCTCTATCTATTTACTCCTGCCTTACCGAAACTCTAAACAGGATTTGATGATCATTTAATTGCTGATTTCAATGACCACTGTGTCTCCATCTGACTTCTCTGTACCACTTAGTCCTGGTAACCACCCACCTTCTCATTCATACTTTCTCTAATACTGACTTTTAATACTAATCTTCCTCCCTAGTCTCCTTTTTTAATGAGGTTCACTTGTTACCCCTTCCTCACCCACCCCCTTCATTTTTTCTGTGGCTTTCCTCATAACCTATACTTTTCTCTTTGAGCAGTGTTCATCCTTGATGATTCCTAAGCATTTAACTCCCAAAAGTACATCTATACCTCTGATGTCTTCCGTGAGCTTGGGCCTGTATTTCTAGCTATCTACTAGACATTTCTACATGGCTGCCCCACCAATATTCCACATCAACAGATCTAAAACCAAATTTGCCACTTTCTACTACTAATTGTGCCCTTCTGCTGGTTGCCTAGAGGGTAAACCACATCTACAGGCTCAGAATCCTTTTCGATTTCTTTCCTGCCTCAACCCCAAATCAAATGTTCAGCAAGTTGCTATTTTGCCACCACAGTATTCTCCCATCTATTATTTCCTTCTCTCAGTACCCTCTGACATTTGTTATAATCCCTCCTAGACCAGAGCAATAGCCTACTCCATTGCCTTAACCAACCATCTCCTCATGGCCGATCTATCTTCAGTATAATTTTCAGAGCAAGCTTCCTATAGCACACTATGGATCACAGGATTACTCTATCAAAAACACACAGTTCTACCCACATCATCTAGAAAAACCTGAAATCCGTGGCTGGCAGCAAAGCTTTCCACCATCCAGGCTCAATCTCCTTTTTCAAATCTGTCTCTAAGCAGGATTCACACTCCCATGATACCAGATATTTGCACATCTCACCTATACTACACAATCTTTATCCCTAACCTGCAAAGATTATCCCCCTATTCTAACATCTTTTTCCAAGGCACCATTACCATCTGTTAAAAATTCTACACAACTCTCAAGGATCTATTTGAATGCCACTTTCTTCAACATAACTTGGGGTACAGTAGGGGTGGGGGGAGAGTCCCACGTTAACTACCTTTCTGGATGTCTCTGCTATGTGTTATCAAAATATTGTGAATGGGAAAAAGCTAGTACATTACTGTAACTGCATGTTATTTGACATTCTTTCAACAAATATCTACTGCTCAATTATTCTATGATAAGCATTGTGCTAGGTTATCAGTCAGACAAATTGCCCTTTCCTCATGGCATTTGTCTGTATTCACCACTAGACTTTTAAGACCCATAAGGAAAGGAACATTTCTTTCTTTTCTTTTGGACATGCCTTGGGCCATATCACAGTCTTTGGGGCTGTTTTTGCCTAAATCCCCCTCAGAATCACAAGAAAGGAACATTTCTATTTTGCTATAATATCCCCAACAAAATGCCCATTATCAATAACCATAAGCAATAACTAAGGAATAAAAGTATTAAAGAAAAAGAAATTTTTACCAAGGAGTCTTATGTGTTCTGACTAATCAGTTTATGTCAATTCTATGATTCTTTTCAGGCAACATCATAATGAGGCTTCTAGAGAAAGCTTATTCTACATAAAAAGCAGTTACCAGATGAGAGGTGATAACCCCACCCTATTCCTGAGTTCTGGTATTGGTTCTGCTACCAACCAAGTCACTTCTACCTCTTTAGTCCTTAGCCTCCTCATCTATAAAATTAGAGAAAATAGTCTCTATGGTTCCTATAAGTTATATTAATCTTTAGCTATTGCTTTCTATAGGTTAAATACATCTAGAGAACATCACGTATCACTAAGTCATTAACTAGAACCCATCTGAAAGAGAATCCAAAGACTGTTAAAGTAGATTCCATCCATGTGACAGGAGAAATAAAGAGAATATTTAGAAAGGCCATAACATTATTATCAAATTTCTTCCAGACTAACATACAGATGAATGCTTAGATTTCCTCTATGTGATCCTAGAGAACTAAAACCAATGGGTAGAATTTATAGTGGGGCACGTTTCAGCTTAATTAAAGGAAAAATAAGACATTAAAACCAGTCAACACTAGGAGGTACTGAGTTCTTTTTTTGCAGAAGGAAGAAAACTCAGACTCTCACTTGGAAGAGATTCAATTATCTGATGAGAAAACTGAAAAAAAGATACCTTCCTTCATAGCTCTTCCTGTAATTTCAAAGCCCTGACTGCACATGTTTCCTCACTAGTCACCTTCTCAGTTCACATTAGTTTTCCTAAGGCCTATTTCTCCACTAGATCATCAAATTCTTGAAAGAAGAACTACACATCATTTAGTTCTATATTCCCTCCCCCCACACACACACACATTATCAAGCACAACTGTACCCCACCAAAATAAACAATGAATGTTTTAATACTCCCACAAAGACTAAACTCAATTTAATAACTATGTATTAACAAGAAGAGGACATCAAACTTGACTAGATAAAAACCTAGCGTATGATGGAATAGAGATATTTTAGAAATTAAGAGTCCTTAACATTCAAAGGTAGTTCTGTCCACAGGTGCTCAGGTAAGACATAAAAATTAAAGCTATTACACAATTCCAGGCTACTGTGTGTCGGGATACCAAAAGTGATAATATGACTGTGGGGTAAGTGTAGGGCTTTTGTGTTTCAGAACAAATTATCTGGCCGGGCGTGGTGGCCCACGCCTGTAGTCCTAGCTCTCTGGGAGGCCGAGGCGGGCGGATTGCTCGAGTTCAGGAGTTCGAAACCAGCCTGAGCAAGAGCGAGACCCCCTCTCTACTATAAATGGAAAGAAATTAATTGGCCAACTAAAATATATAGAAAAAATTAGCTGGGCATGGTGGCACATGCCTGTAGTCCCAGCTACTTGGGAGGCTGAGGCAGAAGGATCACTTGAGCCTAGGAGTTTGAGGTTGCTGTGAGCTAGGCTGATGCCACAGCACTCTAGCCCGGGCAGGCAACAGAGTGAGACTCTGTCTCAAAAAATAAATAAATAAATAAATACTAATAACTAAGAAAACATAAAACACAAACTATAAAGGTATTTAAAATAAAAAGTTTTTTTTTCTTTAACAAACATGGGGGGTGGGGTGGTCTTCCTCAGCAAGACAAGAAACCCAGAATAAAATCATAAATGAAAAAAGTCAACTCTATATGAAAATTAAAGCTTTCTGTACAAGAAAAAATAGAGTTAAATGACAACCTGGGAGGCCATAATTTGCAATACAGCTCCTCTGTATTTTTTTTTTTAACATTTTGGTTACATTTTATATCTTTGCCTCTCCCTTGCAAGGGTTAGGTTTGCCCTTCCCCTCCATAGTGCTCACCATATCCCTCAGATGTGAGTCTACCCCCCTAACCCCCGAAACCCTGATGTACACCACCACCATTTGAGCACCATAGTGTTAATCAGTCAGTACCAATTTGACCACCAAGTACATGTGAAGCCCATTTTTCTGATCTTGTGTCAGCTCCTCCATATTAATGGTAAAAGAACAACCCAATGGAAAAATGAGGAACAGATACAAAGAGCCAATTCATAAAAGAAATTAAGGTCGTCAATAAACAAAAAAGATGCCATAATTATCAACACCATAATCCCTAAAAGCCATCAAGTCATCTACTTGCTTGAACCCTTCAATGTCTTCCCCTACAGCACTAAGAATAAAGACCACTCAAGCCAGCCCAT